GCAGGGGAAAAAAGCCAAACTGAACCCAAGCAGCACTCCCCCACCGTGGCTCAGGTGAAGCTCTCTCCAGGTGAAACCCAAGCTCGCTGGCCTTTCCCCTCGTTGCCTTGGTGATGGTCATTGATTGCCTGTTTGTGGCTGAACTTCCGCGTGTGCGGGCGGAGGCGGCAGCTGAGCAGCGGTGCCTGGCGGAGCTCTCGGCGCGGGGTCTGCGGTAAGTGCAGCTCCCGGTGTGACTGCGGGGTGTGCTGCGGGTCCAGGGGACAGCCCGGCATCCCACACGGGCTGCGTGCAGCTCAGGAAACAGGCGAGTCCTAAACCTGTCCGTCCCGGGCTGTTCCACTCAGACATGGTGTATATACCTTTGGAAAAACATGTTAAATGCTTAATCTTCCTGCTCTGCATGACAGCTGTTCAAATATTGGTTCGTATTGATCCAGCCGTTGTGCCTTTCACACTTGTCTGTTCATTTAAACGAGTCAGCCTTTTAATTTTATACCCCCATCGATTGTTATTTCAGGCTGCTCTCAGTGTGTACACTACATGTGTCATGGGATTTCTGTCCTGGTGGGAGCTGACATCTGCAGCCTTCCTTCTTACACTAGGCTGCATTGGCTTCCTTTCAGTGCATTCACAACAGACACGTGTGTTCCAGAGCTTGTTGGGGTTGGTTTTACAGCACTTGTGTGTGGGTGTAGCTGCTGCTGCCTGAGCTGTGTCTCCTGGATCACCCTTTGAAGGGGCAGCATTTCACCCTGCCTGTGGGGGAGAAGGCAGCTCAGGACACTGCTTGACCCGTGTTCCTTCTCTTCTGCTGTCACAACTCTTCTCTAAACTCCCTGGCTCCAGGGTATTTTATAATCCAAGGGCAGGACTTAGTAAGTTTTCTTTATGTGAGTGCTTTAATGGGTCTTAGAAATTACTTGGCTTTCCAGAGCAACTGGATAAAGTTAATGTGGAGTGTGTTTAACAAAGAATTAACAGAATGTGAATCATACAGATAAATATATATACAAAAGTCTCCTAAATCTGGAAATACATCTGTTTTCTTTCATCTCTTTTGAGGTGAGTTGAGGTTTGTCCACTGTTGATGAAGTTTTGATCTATAATAGGTTTCCAGTTCCACCTAAATACACCGAGTCCTCTGAAATGGCACTGTGAATTCCAGCTAAGAGAACACAACCTGTGTAAAGGTTATCCTTCAGCAAAGAGGAGAACTCTGTAACCTTTGACATGTTTTGGGAAGGCAGGAGTATGTAAACTCCATGTTAATGATTGGACAAAGCAGGAGTCGGTGTGGACGTGAGGCGCAGTGGAGCTCAGCACTAATAGGTAACCAGGCCCTGGAGGGCACGTGCTGCAGCTGGGGGGGGCTGTGTCTGGGGGCAGGGACAGCTGCTGGAATGCTCACAGCTCCACAGCCATCCCCACTGCACACACAGCCTCCCATTCCCAGCAGCCTCACCACTGGATTGATTGGCAGTGCTCAGGACAGGCTGCTCAGAATTCCCACCTGTGTTCTGCACCGTGGGTGCTGGAATGGAACTGCAGCATCAGCTCTGGGGCTGCACAGAGCACAGCCTGGCCTCTGGAAGCCACCCAGGGTAGGGAGTGACAGCACCTGAGCCCCTTCCAGGCTCAGTATGCTCCAGGCGAGGTTGAAATAGGATAGAAAAATGTCTTTGTGGAGTGAGCTGAACTATGCTTCAAAAAGCAGCTTAGGATATGTGCTTTACAAAATAGGGAATTCAGTGGAATACAAAAAATGCAGTCAGGTGTTCACTTCCTGCACAGAAGGTGAATACAGTTTAATCTCATCACCAGACAAGTATTTCTTTCTGCTGTATAATTTGAGCTCCTAGCAGAACCAAAGATTCTTCCTTGGCAAAAGGCAACTCAAGTGGCAAGTGACTTCTGAAGCCTTGTCTCCCCTCAACTGTTCCCAGCTTGCCATTTCCTGCCTCCCGATCTCTCTGTTGTTGCAAGGAGGAATATTTGGCTGCTCATGGAAGGATGGGGGTGGGATGATAAGCAGATGAGGGTGGGTGCTGGCCTCTGGAGTGCAGGAGAAGGGAAGGAGTGTCCCAAGATTGGGTCCTGTAGTGTGCAGTTGCCTCCATTGCTTGCCGACTCAAAGGGGTATCGGATACTCTTGCCAGAAAATGGGAGTTTGTGTTGGGAAATTGCTCTTTAAGAATATGTTAGGTGGTTGATCACTGATGGAAGTCTGAGTGTGTGCTCAGCACTGTCAGCCCATGTGGGACCTGGAGCTGTTCAGCTGAGAGAACTCAGGGTTACACCACTGCTTCTGGCATCTCTTTGCTGTTTAAGGTACAGCCAGACTAATTAAACAAGTGCTTTTTTCGAGTCCCACAGAAGAGCCATCTTGCTCCAGGGAGGGACCTGTCCCTTATGCATTCCATTTGATGCTCGGGGAAGGGTGTCCGTGGTGGCTCAGCGTGCCCGGAGGTTTCCCTGCGTGTGGCTCCTCCCCAGGAGCCTCGCTCCTGCAGTGTGTGTACCTGGTTCCTGCCTGGAGTCCCACAGGGCTGTGCTGTGTCTGATCAGCCCTGGTACCCTGCTTTGCTTGCTCTTGGTTGTTTACTTGTGAAGTAGGACTCCAGCTGGATGTTTGTTATCCTTCATTCAGCCTCACGGTCTGCTGTGTCAGATCCCCACTTCTCCTGAATCCTCCTCATCTGTCTGCTTATTCCACTCTGCTTGTGCTGGGGATCACTTTATTATTTGGGGTTTGGATGCTGGCTCTTCTCCTGCAGAATTTTTCTGTGGTTAGTGATCTCTGTCATTGGGTTTACAACAAAAATTAACCAAAATTCTAATTTTCTTGTACAGTCTGTTCAGAGAGAGCTGGGTGGAAACCTGCATCAGGTAATTGGTACTCTGTGAGTTTCAGGCTGTGCCCAGCCAAGCAGTCCTCTATCTGATTTTTTGGTGGACAATGAGGTGAGATCACTTCGTTATTGCTGAAATAATTTACCTCTTTTATTTACCTGGACACAGCACACTTGGAGATAAAGGAAGAAATTGCCATACAAGGAGTCAGCAAAAGTTAATACATATGGCATACCTCATCACTAATTGAGGAGATGGTTTAACTATTTTTTTTAAACATTACATATATATGTATATGTATTTCGTGCATATGAAAATTGGAACAAACATTTGCAAAAACACTTGTTCTGCTTGTTAAATTGGAATATTGAGAGGCTGAGAGCCTCCTCACAGGAGGGAACAGGGTCATAGCTTTTGGGATATTTAAACTGGATATGACCCTTCAGGTATGTTTTTGAGAATCGATTTAAATCATCTGGAGCATCATCTTTTGTATCTTGCAAAACTCAGTTAGGGAACCTCCAGTAGTGGGAGCTCCTCTTGCCTTTTTTTCTCTTTTAAAGATGGTGGGAGGGATTGTTTGTGTTTTTCTTTGATTTCTTTTGAATCAGTTAACATGCAGAGTGCAGGAAGAAGATGCCACTCTAGCAAGGTTGATGTTGGACTTTGCTAGAGGGAATCTGAGTAGTATTGATAATATAGAAACAGCTATTGCAACTTCTCCTCTAGTTCTACTTCAGTGAGGTCTGAACAGTCTGAGTTTCTGCTTGGATTTTTCTGTGCTGTCTTCTCTTATTGAAGGAATTCTCTTGATCACAGTTTGCAAGTTTATTGCCTTTTGTATATTAAAACTGCTCCAGAAAACCAGGCACATGGTACGTAGGAAAAAGCTTCAATATCCACTAATGTGAGTCCATTGAATCGTTCCTTTTCACATGCTGTTTTGTCCACCTCTCAGGTAAGCTTTGGCCTCTTTTGGTGAAAAAAATCCAGTTCCCTAATTAGAAAGTGCTGCTGGGGAGAACAGCACATGGCAGGTTTACAGGAAGGATTTGTGTCTCCAGTGTTGTTTTACTGCAGCCCAGTTCCTCGGGCAGGACGTGTGGGACCTGCCCTGCAGACAGGCTCAGTGGGACTGTTGTTTTCTGATCCCGTGTCCGTGTGTCCGTCCAGAGGGATGAGTTGGGCTGCCCAGCTATGGCTTTACTTTGGGACTGGTCCTGACCTTCCTCACAGTCAGAAAATCTGTGCCAAGACAGCTGACAAAGCTGTGTCTGGCTTTCAGCTGCCTAAAGCAAACAGACTGGGAGAAACCTGTGGGAAAGTGTAATTGTTTTCTGACCAGGCTTCAAGGAACGGAGTGTCAAGTTACTGTAATTGAATCCAGTATCTTGCAGCTCTGGGAGCCTTATCAGAGCAGAGAACGGATCACTGATACGGGGACTGCAGAACCTGTTTCTGCTGAAGACTTTCCAGCTTTCATTCTGGTGGCCTCTTTGTGTTGCTCAAACAGGGTAAAAAAAAAAAGGAAAATAAAAAAAGGCCATTTTTACTGATGTTCCTCAGGCACTTCATATAATGAAGTGATAAACTGAGCATCAGGCTGATGCTCCGGTGATGTGCATCTGCAGGACTTGCCATCTGTCAGTGAACGCTGATTTGGAGCTCTCCACGTACACCAAGGTGGTGAGACAGGCTTAAAAAAATGATTCTAAGGATTTGTTTTTAACTGTGCACCCTGAATTTTTACACCACAGACATCTCTCATTACTAAAATGTTATTAATAATTTCCCTCGTGTTTGAAGAACTTTAGTGTCAATGCAGAATGAATTTGTGGCATATGGATTGCTTAAGATGTGAAATGGCCCTGTTCAGCAAATACTCTTCTGCTTTTATTGCTATTATGGTTACAGTATTATTGCTGTGATGTTATTACTGTTATCTACTCGTACTCTGTCTTTATTGAACTCTTAACAGCTCTGACTGGACTCAAATAGTCCTCATGGCTGCATTCAGATAAGCCTTCCAAGAGGAGGTTCTTTTCCAGATCCTCCCTAGGAGAGACTCCTGCTCTCTGCTATCCTCTTGTTGCTCCTGAAAATTCTCTACAGCATGAACACTAAAGCCACTTTCTTTTTTGTCACAGGAGGAGTCTCGCATCCTCAGGGTGAAGGTGGTTTCTGGCATTGATCTGGCAAAGAAGGACATCTTTGGAGCCAGGTGGGTGTTGTGCAGTGCCTGGATCCTTGGAACAGGATCAGCTTGGCAGGGCAGGGGCCCTGTGAGGGCTGCAGCCCCCGCAGGTGCTGGGTGTGCGTTGGCACAGCAGCCCTGCCCGCCCCTGCCCCCTCTCTGTGGGCACAGGAAGCAGCTCAGAGCCCAGGCTGCAGAACCCGACCAGGTAATAGCTGGGGACAAGCTGCTTCTGAAGATAAAATGAACCCCAGCCCAGTAATTTTCTGTTTCTGAAGGTTAATTCAGGCTTGACACTGCTGCTCTCTTAAGCCTAAGCATGACAAAATGCTCTACTGCAAGTGTTCCAATCTACTTAGCAGGGTTTTATCAGTTTGAAATTAGTGGTATCCAATTTTAGCTTTTATTGAAGTGACTAATTTCTTAATGTATAAATGAGCTTCCCTGTGGGTTTTCCTGTATTTCTTTAATGATGCTTACAAATTGTTCATTAACTTGTGTATCCAGCTTAAAACTACATGAAAGCAGCAATTAAAAGGTTTTATCAGCTTCAGTATTTTGGGTGAAATTTGCAACAAGCGTTCCTTTGGTAGCTGTGTGCAGAATGTGGTATGCCGAAGCTTTGTTATTTTCTTTCTCCAAATGTGTTGTTTTGAAGAACAGGTTTTGATGCTGACCATAAGCAACATAACTTTTATCTTTCAAAATGCATGAAGCTAAATCCGAGTGTAATTTGTTCTGAATCCTATTGATGTGGTCCTTAACGTATTTTAAGGAAATTGATTTCGAGTCAGTAGGATTTCCATAAAAGCAGAGTTAAAAACATATTCCCTACGTGTATTTTAAAATTTGTTTTAATCTTTCAACTGAGTTAATGTACAGGTGTTTGAAAACCCGTGTGTATTGACTGCAGACCTGCAGTTCCTGTGCCTCCGTGTGGTGGAACTGTGCAGGGCTTCAGACTGGGGCAGAGCAGTTGCTTGTTCCACAACTGTGGAAGATGAACTACGGGGCATAAGTTGTGTTTTGCATCTCGGTGGGTTGTCCTGACCCTTTTTAATCAACTTTACCATTATAAAACACTGCCTGTGGGCTTGCAGAGTCTCAAAGCCATTTCCTTCTTGATTAAATCTAAGGAAAGTCTCTTACCAGTGTAGAGCACTGGAGAGACTGTAAAGAAATCTCGGTACTCTTGAGTTTGCTTTTTTGGGATTCTTTTTGACCTAGGAAATCATTTTAATAGCAAGTAAAGGTACCCTGGGACACTCAGTGCTGTAGGATACCCTGGGTGCCTTCACTGCTGTATTTTGCCTTTTAAGTCAGAAGGTAAGTGAAAATTGTGGCTGTCTGGAAGTTGAAAATGTAAAGTGCTTTTCAGTTAAAATTGCAGCTGTTTTTCAATGTCAGGGAGCTGTGCTTCTAGTGGTGTAAGAGTTTGTTATGGGTTTATTGCTTTTACCTGCTCTTTTCTGAAAAGCACTTTTCTGGTTTGATTTCATGTGTCCAGGATCTGTGATGGAGCTGGGGAAGGCAGGCTCCAGGCAGCTGATAGGATTGTAAGTCGTGCTGTATAGTCCTGTTGTGAACAAGGTTGCTTGAAATGTGGCTGAATTCTTTAATTCATGTGTGTCCTGTCACTGTGGTTCGTGATGGGAGGAGAGCTCATGTGGCTGTGGCTTTGCAGATGACAAAGATGGCAGGTGTTTACCTTGTGCCTATTCTTTAAAGTCCTCTGTCACTGCTTCTAGTTAAAGTTCACTTTGAGTTAGGGTATATCTGGTTTGAACTACTGGAAACAGTGTGGAGATAGCTGTACCTCTGGAACTATCTCCTCCAGCACCGCACTGCCTTGGAGCTTCATTGGCTAACAGCCTGTTCCCCTTCTGGTAATGATGGCTTCCCTGATGAGCAGAGACAAATCCATTGAAGGCAGTTGCTTTCATAAATTATTCACACCATTAAAAAAAATAATCTGGCTCCTGAGTGCCTCTTCAAATGAGCTGCCTCTTCAGCACTTGCATGTGTGCCAGAGGGAGAGTGCTCTGTGCCTCCTGGCCCAGGGAGGCCCCGAGGTGGAACAGAGCTGTGACTGAGTTCCCAGAGCCACCCAGACTCCGGGGCAGTTGCTCAAGTAGGAGAGAGTTCATACTCTGTTGTTGCTTTTTCCTTATTCTAGCTGATTGGCAATTGAGGTTTTTCCAGAGTAGTGGAAATGGGATGTTATTAACAGTGTGGGAAAGGAAAGAAACAAGATGAGATCTTCCTCTAGCCCTAGCTGGACTTGGGAATGCAGAAGCAGCATCTGCACTGCTCAGCAAGCACCCGTGGCTCGTGGTTTGGCTGTGGAATGAAGTGTGGGGTGCAGGTGTTGAGGGGAGCACAGTCACTGCTGGTGCAGCCAGCTGTGTGCGTGCCTGCCTGGGTGGGAGGGGAGCGGCCCCGCACAGGCAGAGCCCGCGGGTTCCAAAAGCTGCTGTTGTCAGTGGCAGCACAGCCCAGGGCACTCGGTGAGCAGCCCCGGAATGGCACGGGCAGAGCTGTCTGCTTTCCGTGGAAAATGCTCCGAGATCACCCAGCCCTCTTGTCTGAGGTGTGCGGCCAGTGCACGAGAGGGTGCTGGCATAGAAGAGATGAAAGGCTGCTCAGCAGAAATATGCTGGGTAACGGATAGTTTTATTTGTGAAACCCTGATGTCGGTGCTCGTACAAGTGTGTGAGATGAATTTTGGGCTGCCGGGTACGGGCGCGGGGTACCGGTGTACCCATGCCGTTGGTGCGGGGCTGTGCCTGGCAGCAGAGGGCATCAGAGAGTTTCTGCAGCTTCCCCCGATGGCTTTCGAGCAAATGAGGCCGCAGGTTCTTCACCAAAATTAGCGGGTTTTTACCCTTTTTACATGTTGTGTTCTTTAGGATGCACTGGGTATATATTTCAGGAGCTGTACATGGAGAAATGCTGTTTATTTGAGGATGTGGTCCTGCTACTTAGTAAGAGGACTTGGTAATAATTCCTGATGGTTATAATATCATAGTAAAAAATAATTCTCATCAGATAATTGCTCAGTTGAAAAATTTCTTTGTACAAATACAGAAAAATAAAATGTTCCTTGTTACTTGAAGAAAGGAATCTTCTGTATTCAGCTCCTCAGCTTTCCTGCCTGCCTGCTATCTGCTGTGATCTGTGAGTTTACCTGGATCTGGTATCTTTAAAAGAAAAAAGTGGCATGTCAATAAAATCATCTAAAGAAAACCTTTTGATCTTTAATATTTAAGGCAGAACTACTGTGCTGACCTTTTCTCTTCCTCAAGCCATGTGTCATGGAGTTCTCTCGCTCCTTCCCCAGCCTGGTGGATTTTGGAACTTGTTAAGATAATTTGGGAGTGTGAAATGGCATAGAAAGATCTATGTGTACATCAGCCCCTCAGCTTCAGAGGCTGATGTGTGCATATTCTGTTAGGGCATTCATTTAACCTTTGCAAAAAAAAATGGCCTCAGGGAGGAAAAACCCCCATATTTACACTTCCATCTGTTTTGGAAGATTAAAATATTCTTTTTGCTCTGGGAGACTTCCAAGAGAGCAAGAACACAAAAGGAATCCATCTTGCTACCCTTTATTAGAGCATACCATGGTAAAGGAAGGTGGAGACACTGGAGGTGGGGTTTTAGGTATCATTTTTATCTCCTTTTTTCACCCACAGGCACTTTGCAGCTTCTATGATGTGAGTCATTATCTCTAGCAGCTCTTTGGTAAAGCCTTGCTACATTTCTTGTACAGTCAGAAGAAGTGTGAGCCTTCCTTTGCAAAATAAAACACTAGCAGGGAAATGGGAGGTGTGTAAGATGACTCTGGGATTTGGTATGGAGGAGTGAGATTTGGGATGCTTAGGCACAATGGATTGCAAGTTTGGCTTTGCGGTGAAGGGTAAGGTAAGGTTTTGTTTTCTTTGCAGAAGCTGATGTTCCTTTATCCTTGTGTGATTGGACATTTTGGGCTTTGCTTTAGTCATAGGACACGAGACTTGTGTGACAGTGAGGTCAAAATCTTGCTTCTCTTTGAGGAAAAACTCTTAATGGATGTTAGTACAGGCAGAAAGGTGAAACCCAGAAGGCTCGTGCTAAAATAAAGCCAGGGAGCAAACACAGCCAGGGTGTTCTGGAGCATTCCTTGTATTTGCTGTGCATTCTTATTGTACTTCTCCCTTCTTACTGTGCAGGGATGGGGAAAGTCACCGGGGGAATGGTTGTTGGGATAAAATGACAGTGCCTGTAAGAGCTTCTGCCTTAGAACATTGTTTTTACTGCTCTCCATAAAACTTGGTTAGAAGTATCTCTTTATTATTCTAATCTTCTTCTTTATCTTCTTTAATGATGCATATTTTGGCAGTTTGTTTCCATTTTGAATCTGAAAGTGACTAAGCAAAACACTGGAATTTTAAAAAAAATTTGGAACTTTTTAAGCTCTGCTAAGTGCATGCACAGACAGTTTCTCTTAAGTGTTTAAATGATTCTGAAAAAACATTTTCACGTTCACAGAATTTCCCCTTGTCAAGCATAACCTTCTTTTCAGCCCTGAGGCTCCCATAATTTTGTGGAGACTCCTTTAGATGAGTGTTTTTGAGGATGATGTGTTACTGATGTGAGTTTGTACATGGTGGTTTTGCAGGCATGTTGTCTGTAAAAGCACTGTATTTCCACCAGAACAGCCTGCAGATTTCCCAGAGTGTCTGTGCAGAGCAGGTCAGTTCCCACAGCACTGAGTACCTGGGCACGTTCCTCTGTACCTGCCCACAGGTGGAGGGACCCCAGAGCAGGCAAACCCAGAGCCTCAGCCCTCCCAGACCCCAAGGCAGGCAAACCCAGAGCCCCAGCCCTGCCAGACCCCTGGGGAGGAGGGGGCCTGAGGTCTTGCACTGTTCTGGCAGCAATGTGAAGGGGTCGTTTGGGGGGTTGTTGGAACATTGAGCTTGTCTGACTCCGGAGCACAGGGAGGCAGTGCCTGCAGGGCTCATTTAGGATGCTGTTCCAGGTACACCTGCCCTGAGGAGAGTGCAGGCAGGCTGGATGGAGTGAGGGGGTGGGAAAAGGGCATGGATGTAGATTAACTGATAGCCGAATAGTGGTGCCCTCAAGAGCAGGGGAGGAACCAGATTGGGATGTGGCTTTGAGGGAGAGGCTTCTCTGCTTTCATGTTGGAGTGTGCTGGTATTTCTGTAGCCAGAATTACAGGGGCTGTTGATCAGTTCTCTCACGTATGTGAGGCAGAAAAGTGGCAGCACAAAGGGAATGGTTCTGTGTTTCTTACAGAAGCAAAATTATCTTGTGCAAGACTGTTCCAAAGAGATCCAGTCGGGCTATTTTGAAATGCAAAGTTTGCCTGCATGTGACAAGCCTGGCATTCACGCACTTGCATAACAAGTGTTACTAAATTTTATATGTGGGGAGGCGGTTTCAGCTTTTAAAATAAAAATAGAGCCATGTAGGCCTTAGTAGTTCCATTGTTCTTCCACGTGTGCCTGTGCTCTCCACCCCCTTCTTTTGGAGCTTAAAATAAGTAAATAATACATCACATCACTGGCAGAAGCTAGTTTGAGACCTGCTTTCAAAACTGTTTCAAAAGTATAGAGCAAATGTGATTCCAGACTCAAGTGAACAAATGGGGCACTCCTCCTGAGCCCCAGTTTCACAGTGCTCTAAAGTAAAGTGATTTTAAAAGGAGGCTGATCTTCCTTGAGATTTTTTGCTGGAGTTTTTAGTCATCAGAGCTTTTGTTGTCCTCCAGAAGAAGATCTGGAAGCTTGCCTTTTCATACTGAGATTCAAATGAAAGATGATAATTATATATCTACAGTTGCTTGAGCTTTAAGAAAATGACAAATACTGCAAGTTGGCAACACCATGGCAAATAACTAATTCTGGATGTCTGAGGGATTCCAGAGGTCAGGAAAAGGATTTCTTAAGCCTCAGATTGTTTTGATGGCTGTTGTTCTGCCAAACTGTCTTTGTACTAACTTGTGATTATTATAACTTTGATTATTAGCATAATTTTCTTAGGAGTCCCTTTTTTTTCTCCAGAGATCAGTTATGAGCTTCAAAGTTCTCCTGATCTTGGCAGGTGCTGATGTTTTCTTTAGGTTTTGGCCAGTCACGTTTGGCTAGATGAGATTTGGTGCTTTTAGTCATTTTTGATTTTGTAGCAAGGAGCATTTTAGATAGGTGTTCACTTCCCTTCACCCCCAGGCACTGGTATGATGATGGGCTCATTTCCCTTTTAAGCGCTACTTGGTCCTTTGAAATTTCCCATTTTTGCCCTAAATGTAGGTTTCTTATGCCCTGCAGCTGCCGTTGGATCCCCTCTTGGGCACAGCAGCCTTGCTGCATTGGGCAGCTCTCTGTCAGTCTGTCGTGTCCCTGTGTTGGTGTCCCTGTGCATGCAACACTGTTGGAGTTCTCCTCCTTTTAGTCAGCCCATTTCAGGGTGAGAATATCTGGCAGGTACAACTCCAGACTGATCTGAGTCTGCTTTCTGTGCTCAAAAGTTAGAATCATAGAACCATAGAATATGATGAGCTGGAATGGAGCCATCAGGATCATCGAGTCCCAGCTCCTGACCCTGCAAAGAACATCCCAAGAATCTCACCATGTGCCTGAGAGCATTGTCCAAACTCGCCTGATTGATTTGCTGGGGGGTTTTTGTGCTTTCAGTAGTGTCTCATTTATTATCGTCTTCTGTCACCTGAATCATCAGGATTTCCTTTCTTTAACCCATCTGCAGACACTGCTGTGAGACAGGAATCTGGTATTTTACTGCTTGTCTTAGTGTCTGTTTCATTCCAATTTGTGGTTAGGTTTTCCAGTGACTTTTAATGTATTCCATTCTTGTGCAAGTTTTCCTCAGTTTTACTGATTTTCATGTTTTGGTCTACTAGGTCTTCCTGTGTGACTTGTTTCATTCTCCCAGCAGCTGTATGGACTCCAGGAGTGCTGGCTGTGTTACCTGATCCCAGAGCAGAATCCAACAACTGAGGCTCTCCAGACCCCTGGGGTTCATCTGGAGCTGCTCACAGATTAGACTGCTTATTTGGTTGTTGGCATCTGAGCCCGATTCTAAGTAATAAGTTGTTAAAAGCTTTACAATACTTTTTATTTATTGACTTCCAACGATAAGAGCTGTAATATCAATCAGGTGCATTCTAGTCCCTCAGAGCTGCTGTCAGTGCAGTGTGAAGTGTCTGAGCCTCCTGTGCAGGCTCCATGCAGGGCTGTTCTGGGGCTGGCCACCCCCAGGGCTGTGTGAGACAGCTCCACTGGGCCGGTGTCAGCTTTCCCTGGGCTCCAGTCTCCCTCCAGCTACGTGTTTGTTTTAAGTAAACAAATGCATGGAAGTAAACAGTCTCAAATATCCAGTCATTTGGGTAAACTCCAGCTTCACCTTCAGCACAAGAGCTTGGCTGCATAGCTCAGTCTGACTCACTCTGTCCCGCTTTAAGAGCAGGCAGAGATGGCAGTAATTTCTTCAGTAAAGGCAGAATTTCCTTACTGAAACTAGTAATAAACGTAATTATTCTCTAGTTTTTAAAAATAGAAATAGATTTTAAAGAAATAATCTGTGCCACTTTCGCAGTTTTCGTTTTCTGTAGACAGAAGGTTCATCCAGGGTATTTCAGCACTAAAAAATTGTAGTATTTCTAAGGGTTCCTGAAAACAACATTGCCCAGGTGTGGGTTGATAACCCAAATCTGGGAGGATACCTGTAAATATTAGCGTGGTACATCAAGCAATTTAAAGTAGCATCAGCATTTCTTTGAAATCACAATGATGCTTTGCTTTCTTCTAAATCTTGGTGCTTAATTCTGAACATAACTGCAGTTGAAGTAAATGCACTTATGTGCATCTACTGATAGGAATAATCAGTCCAACAAGATGTCTTGTTTCCACCTTTGTGGCATTTTATACTCGATACATGGAGCAGCCAGTATAATAAATGTGCAATGCTGATTTTTCTGTAGTGATGCTGTCCCAAATAGTTCCTTAAATTCAAGAAGTATCAGCATTTGAATGACTTGGTTGGTAAATCTGGGTGTCTGGTGGTTTTGTGAGTGCCTCTTGTTGATGCTTTCAAGAAGTCTTGGATCATTGTCCAGCTGAGTGTGCTGCAGCCTTGAGAGGGAAGCACCAGAGCAGGTCAGGGTCCTGGTTTTACTCAGTCACTCATTTCCTCCCTTCAAGCAGAGACTTGGCTCCTGTTCCACTTCTGACATTGTACCTGTGTGAAGTTCACCTGTTCTGCAGGATGCTCTTTGTCCCAGTCTAGAACACAGAGCCATGGAATGGTTTGTGTTGGAAGGGGCCTTAAAGACCACCCAGTTCCACCCTGTGCTGTGGGCAGGAGCAGCTTCCACTGGAGCAGGTTCCTCTCTGCCCTGTGTGTCTGAATCACTGCTGGTACTGTGCAGCTTGATTTTATGGTTCAAAACAGTTATAACCACTGCTTCAGAATACTTGCTGTCAGCCTCCAGGGGTGAGTGGTGGCCAAGCCCCACAGCTCCCATTTTCCCCTGACTTCTTTCAGTGGAGTGCTGTGGGCAGGAGCTGTGTGGGAGCAGGAGTTCTTGGCCCAGCAGGGACAGAGCTGCAGGGAGTGATCTCTGCTCTTATGGGCAGGGTTTAACTGAGCTCATTGTTAATGTGTCAGTAGCTTGCTAGAGTTCTGAGCTTTCACTGAAGACAATTCCCCTAGAAGTATTTGGAGGTGCTGTTGTTACCCAGTTCCATGACAAATTCCTTCTGCAGTGCTTTCTGGCTGTACAATTGTAGGCCATTAAATCTGATGTTTTCTTTTGCAGTGACCCATATGTGAAACTTTCCTTGTATGTAGCAGATGAGAACAGAGAACTTGCTCTTGTGCAGACAAAAACCATCAAAAAGGTATGTATATACTCTTCAATTCGTTGGCTTTGGAAGGATTAAGAACACTGGAACACTACTGTATAACATAGTGCAGCACTAATTAAAATCATTACATGCATGTGTAGCAACTGGATAATGTGGTTTTCTCCACACCAAAATCAGAGAACAGGTGCCTGCACCTCAGTGTGTCTGGCCTGGAGACAGCACCTAACGTGTTGCATGTTGTTCCCTAGAGCTTGGCTTATCAAATCCCACTGCATCATCCACAGGTTCTTTTTTCAAATTCATATTTCTTTGAAAGACATGACTGAAATAAAGGACTGAGAAATTCTGCTTTAATTATCATTTATCTGACTTTTAGAAAAAATGATCATTCTCTTCAAAGTTTCCATTTTCAAAATATTTTCCTAATATGGGAATTTAAAACAACCCGATGACAGAAGATGTGCTGTAAGAAAAGCCTGGGACTTCTTACATTTTTAATGAAAACCAAAAGTTTTATTTGAGTTTTTTTATTTACTTTGAGTTTTATTTCATTTCTCTATTTTAGTTCACACAAATTTCCACTGAGGGATATTTGTCATTATCAGGATCCTAAGATTTTGTAAGGATAGTTTTTTTTATTTTGCTGGCTTTGGTGGCAGAGAGGAAAGTAGTCATAAACTGTATGAAAAGTAAGGGAAAATAATGAGTTGTCATTCTTTACGGAGGTATTTAGAATCAACAGGGGTTCAGTTGAAATCGTTGCTGAAAAACAAAATAATGAGGAGAATTTTGTTCTTGAAAACACGAACTGGAATGATGCAGTTCTAAAATCAGGACATCGGGTGTCATGAGAAAGCCAATGTGCAATCCTGGAGGTGTGGAAGATCCAAGCAGAGCTGTCCCAGAACCAGGGCATGTTTGATGTGGTAAAGGGATTTTTCAAAGACTTCCTGGTGAGCTGTTGGTGCTTGTTTCATTCCCAGGACTGCATCTGCTGATTTGCACTGTTTCTTCTTTCTCACTGTCAGTTAAAGCCCAGACGTTCTCAGTCATTTCTGTAACAGTGCTATTAACTCATATGTTGAAAAGTTCTAGTTGGTAATTTCTGCTTGGAATTTTTGAATTTCATCTCAAGGCAGAGTTCTCCCTGTGCAAGTTGCAATCCTCTCTCTGTTTTGTAAACAGCAAATATCATTAGCATATCTCAATTTTGAGTTAAAATCATTAATAAAAAATACTGAGTACAGCGAATCCAAGGAATGAATGACTGGCAGTTACCTCCCTCAGCTCCGTATCTAACCCTTCACAAGTTTCTCATTTTTCTCCTCAGTTTTGTGTTCCTCAGTTGAATGGGTACCTTTGTGCAGCACTGCTTTTGGGAAAGCAGAAGGAGCTGCAGTGTCCCCTTTTTATTCTCTTTTTCCATGAGCTGTGCCATTGTGTGATGTGTGTCCTGCTGCCCAGCTGGACTGTGCCTCTGGAAGTGCTTCATGGCAGCCAAAGGGGTTAAATGCACATCGTTTGTTTACTCTGAAAAACAAAGTTTCCAGGAGAATGTCAGCTTCATGTGCCATGACCTACCCTAGCTGAGCTTGGGAGGCTTTTTGTTTCAGTTTATCTCCCTCCATAGTTAATCCAGCTGGAAGGTTTGATGAATGCTTTGTGCTTTGTTTTGGAGCTCTCTTTGGAATGACCTGCTGAAAAGGTTCTCTCTGAAGCAGGGAAAGCTGCATTTGCTGTTTGCTGGCTTCTGATTCTGTAACATGGTCAGTGTGTTTTTTACATTCCTGCTGGAATTTAAAAGTTCAGATGAAGATTATCCACTTCCTTCAGTTTCTTCACCTTGACTGCACTGAACTCCAAAGTCTTCTACCTTTCCCATATGGAATATTAAAAATCATTTTCAGTCTCTGAGAATGCCCAGTCTCCCCATCGAGCTCCAGTGTTCAGCAGCATCATTTCTCTCCGTGTCCTCCTTTTCTGTGTAGTGTTGAAAACCCTTTCTCAATACCTGAGGAAGGTCTTGCTCAGCTTGACTCCTGGCAGTCCTTTGTGTGTGCAACACTTGCCCTTTTTTTAGGATGTAGCTGTTTTTGGGGTTGTTTTGTAATTGTTTCCCTGCTCATGTCCTGTTCGGAGCTATTGCTGCAATTCCTTCTTTGCTGGCACTCAGATGTTTGCACTGCTTGACTTGGCCCACTAAGAGTGAGACCTGTAAAGGTGGAAGAAATTTCTGTGAGTTACCAGGCATTTACCAAAGATTCTGCAGCCTCATCCATCAGATTTCCTCGAGCTCTGTGGTTAAGCAGCATTGGGAATTAATGGAATGTCAATGGGCAGTAGTGCCTCAAAACAAATGTTAGGCCCGTTCTTTGTTTGGTCAATTGTGTGTGCCCTCTCTAGCCAACAGCAGTAGCATTTGATGAATACAAATGTTAAAAGGTAACATTGTTTTCCTTACTGCTTCACTTTAATGTATTTTTTACTGAATACATTGTACTCCTTCAGGGAAAAAAGCTGAGAGTTTCTCAGCGCCCACAAGCCCATCCCTGCCCTTGCCCTCGTTGATTCACCTGCCCTTGACAGTGGTCTTTTCTTTCAGGAAGCATTTCCTGCTCTGCCATGAGCTCCTGTATTGCCACTTTGTAGAGGGATGCAGTGTAGTCAGCCCCCATGTCCTGCACATGAGGAATCTGTTGCATCTCTAGCAAGGAGTAAGATGAACAGCCAAGATTCCCCTTCTCTGCTAGAACAGAATTCTTGTGGGTGTAAAGGCAATTTTTCCTGTCAGCTCTGCCCATAAATCTCTGCTGTGTGAGAGCATGAGGGAATGATTTGGCAAGAGCACAAAAACATTGGACATATTGTCCAATTGTTTTTATCCTTACCCAAGCTTGAATTGTCTAAATTACTGTTTGTAGTTCTCATCTCTTTTATCAGTTTATTATGTCACGCTTGAGCTCACTTCAGCTTGCAGTCCAGATGCACGTTTATTCTATGCATTTTAGTCAGGTTGTTAAAATTACAATCCTTGAGCTGGGAGAAGATTGGAAGAATATCTTAACCTATTCCAAGGAATAACCTTTTCTTTTTGTTTTTGGGGGATATTTTATTTTTCTGTTTATTTCACAGTATAAATCTGAGCATATTTTGTAGCCCTAAAGTTATTACCTTTGTGTTTAAAAAATACTTTTATTTTCACCTGGGTTTAAATGAGTCTTGAGAAGGAAATATCTTGAAGTTTTATTTCTATAGATTCTCAATGATTTGTCTTTTAATCATCAAATTCTATTTATATTTAATGTCTATTTTAGGATTATCTGACTCAATTGTCCTCCCACATTTGGTTTACTCAATAGAGAATTTTTGGATGGATAATATATTTTTCAGTAACATTTATTACATGCTTTTCTTTCTAGAAAACTGTCACTTGCATGATTGTTTTTATAATTGCATACCAGAATACTTAAAGAAACGTTAGTATGTAAATATTGTTATTTCTTTTACAGACACTGAACCCTAAATGGAATGAAGAGTTTTACTTTAGAGTAAGTTTCTCTTTATTTGCAGTCTTTAGCCTCAGCTTCATGGGGAATGCTGACTGGGACACATGCACCAAACAGCTCTTCTGGGGTTTGCAGCTGAGTAATACAGGCCTAAAATCTCAGGAAAAGGAAATTCACAACACTGCTGCAAAACCTCTGGTGTAGTTCATAGATGCTCTGTTAAAACATCTTGAAAGTTCTCAGCAATTATGGGGCCTATTAAGTAATTTACACCCTATTTTATGTGTCCCAGTTCTCTGATTTTCTCAGAACTGGTAAGTCCATCTCCAGCCCACAGAATTATCAATGCATTGTGGTATATTATTTCTAAATTTCCTTAATTAAACGTGCTGGTCATAGTAACGTGGCTTGCAAAGCTTTTCTGAATGTATCAACTAGATTAAACGCTATAAAACTTGTTAACAGCAGTTGTTTTGTCTTTCTGACAGAGTTTTTTTTATGTTTGATTTTGTCCTTTTAAATGTTGGCAGTCTTTCTGCTTCAATTTAAGTAAATCATTTTCTGGAGGTGTATTTGCTGCTTTCAGGTGTTGGGTGTTCCAAGGTTGTGTATGCTAAATGGGCTAGAGATGGTGAGAGCTGGACAGTCAGAAACATATCTGAATGTGAAATGCTGAGGAAATGCAGCAAAACTCTTGGTCCTCATAAATCAGTCAGTCTGTCAGGGAGCCCTGACAGTCTGTCCAGGCTGGAACAGGAGTCCTGGGAGGGAAATGCAGTAACTGCACATAAAAGCTTTCATGTCAACTGCCAGGCTCTTCCCACTTGCAGGAAGGTTCTGGTGCTCCAGTTTAAGTAAAGATTTCCATTAGACCTGTTAGTGCTGTCCTGCTTACCTTGGGTTGATTGCTGCCTGAGCTAGTACCCAGACACTGTTGTTGTCCAGCTGCTGAACTTGTATTTCCCACAGGTGAACCCGAGCAACCATCGGCTCCTGTTCGAGGTGTTTGATGAGAACAGACTGGTGAGTGCCTGTCTTGGTTGTGTTACACTGCTCACAAGGCTCTGTGTGCCTGACAGAAATCCAGCACAGCTTAAAGGTGCCTTTAGTCTGTTGTTTCGGTGAGTGTGCCGAGAAACACAAATAGATGTGTAAAAACCATTTGAGTTTGGGACTAATAGGACACTGAAGTGTGGCCCCTCTGGGTCCTCATCCAGTCCTCTGACAGTGAAACCCTCACTCGGTCCCTCTGTAGGTCTCTCCACTTCAAACCAATAAAGTCCTGACCTTTTAAATCCCTGATTAAGCAGCTGCTTCAGTCCCTGATCATTTCAATGTCCCTTTCCAGCCCTTTAATGCTTCTGCATCTTGCTCTGGGAGGTGGTTCCCAGAGCTGCACCTTGTGCACACAGTGCCTGTGTGAAGGTTTGAGGTCATGGCAGAATGATGCTCTGTTGGCTTTCAGCTCTCTGCCTCACAGTGCTCACATGTTGGGTTTGGTCTTTGGCTGATGCAGTAGCTCTTCTGGAGGAGGCTCTCACCATCTGACTGCTGCTAGCTTCTGTTGTAGTTATGATCCATGGAAAAGTGACAGCGTCCCTCTGTACATGCAGGGCTAAATGTGCCAGTGCAGTGGCACACTGGTGGGTGGCTCTTGGGGGTTTGCTTTTTGAACACTGTAACACCATCGCTCTGTTCATGAGATCAGGAATTAACATTTTCTGGGCTGGGGACAGTACAGCCTTTACCAAACTTGTTTAATTTGTGAAAATTAGGAACAGAGTTGCAAAGATACTTTCATTTAAAAAAAGACAGTGTAGAAGCATCTGTCTTCAACAAATAGGTTCTTTCCTTCTATCTTCCTAATAAATAAAGAGCAAAGGAAACCACAGAAGCTGTAGTCTGGAGAGAAAGAGGACTTGGCAGCTGAATGACTGGATCTTTCCTCAGGAGGAAGTAAATATGTGAACCAGTGGCACTGTGCCTCTCCAGTGTGCTGACCAGGAGCATGTTTATTTGTATATAATGATCATAATGACCACTTGCACTTTTCAACAGCCATGTGCCATTGGAATGCAAAGATGCCACAGGAACAGAGAGGTAGGTTAGAGAAGAAACTCATATGCAGTGACAGCTAGGAAATGACAGGTTTGGAATACTCATTTCAGACACATTGCTTTGGATTTTCAAGTTTGGGTGTGCAGGACTGGCCTTACCCTGGCAGTTTCAGCACTTTTTATTGTGGAATCAATTTTTGTGTATTCTCCTTCTGGTCCTACCTCCGAAGTCAGTCTGTCCTTGAGCTTGGAACCTCCTGCCAAGGCAGCAGCTGGGGTTAGGAGCCATGGCTTTCCTTGCAGGAGGTCTATGGCAAGGTGACTATTTTCGGAGTTTTGGAGTGGCAGGTTTTCCTCAGGTTGTGAGGAGAACACTGAACTGATTATTTTGGCTTTTTTCTCACATATTTATTGTCAATACTTAAAATGGCCTTTATTGGAAGGACTTTGTTCCTTCTTAGTCCCAAATTGCCAAAGTGCATTCTGTCTCTGCAGGTGTCCTTGCCTTTCTATTCCCCAATCTCAACAGAGTAAATGTGATGCAGCTTCATTTTGGGTGCAGAGACCACGTTCTTGAGTAATGTGTTTTAGCTGAAAGATAAGATAAAATAATACCAACACCTGTGCTTCTACAAGGCAGTCTCTAGGACCATTGCTGTGTGGAAGCTGTTCACATTTTTGTTGTGTCTATAATCCACATAAACAATGTGGGGCTATGCTGGCTGCTGGCAGTTTGATCAGTTGGAGCTGCCATTGCTCTTGGGATTGGTAATCTTCTGGCTTTTGAAAGCAAGCTGCTTGCAAGCAGAGTTCAGATGTGTAGGCAGAGGACTGACCCGCCACACACAGGTTTTCAGAGCTGTTGACAAGATTTAGCCTTTCCAGTTCTCCCAGGGAACAGCTGTCCAGGCCCTGAGATGGAGCTGCACTTCTGCTTAACCAGAGTTTCTTTTCTGGTGTGTGCACCCTTCACTGAGAGTGCCCCCAGGGCACTGAGTATCTTTGTTGCAGCAAAGCCGATTGAGGGTGCTTGGTTCCCGTTCTGGTGTATCCTGCCTGCTTGTCCTGTTCTTGTGGCTCTTAGAGGGTGTAACTGTACTCCTGCTGGCAGTGCCACGTGTGCTGGCATTGCTGACTCCCTGCTGCAGGCAGCCAGGAGCAGGCAGTTCTGTGCAGGCTCTGGGACAAATCAGTACAAACGGACATGCAACACCCAGCTCTGCTTTTCCCTCACCTGTACTGCCTGGTAAATCTGGAAAAGGAGCTTTGTGTCTTGCTGTCCTGCCTATTTCTGCTGCTTTTACTGTGTGAGAGATCTCTGCCATATGTGCAATTGTTTTGTTTGTAATTTGTACTTACTCAAAGGGGAGTGCAGCTTATATTGCTGTTGGGGTTTTTAAAGGCAAAAGTTTGTTGCTTAATTGTGTTATGAGCATGGTTAAAATAGAAAGCGTAACCATGTTATATTTATTTCTGTTCTGCCATGACAGCCCAGAGCTGTAACACACCAAAATGTTATGCTTGAAAGAATTTTCCTCATTTGCATGTGGTGTTGACTTAAACTTTTAACACAAAATGGAAGTGGTTTTGTCGTAGTTACATTTTTCTGCGAGCGCTTTCTCCAAGCGTGCCCTGTGAGTCTGATGTGCTTTAGATTTATGGCAGTGCTGAGTGTATTCGCTGCCTCAGTCAGCTGCGAGAGCTCTCCCGCTGGGGCCACTCCTCCCTGATGGAAAAGGAGCAGCTGGGAAGGTGCTGTTTCAGGCTCTTGCTGGCATTAAAAAAAAAAAAAAAAGGAAAAAACAAACTCCTCACACACTTACATTGGAGAGGGGGAACCAGGCCACGTGACTCCCACCATCCTACCCTATGTCACCGTGTGTGTAGGAGCGCTGACTGCTCCTGCCCAATCATGCCTGGAATGCTGCTTGCCACTTGGGCTATTTCTGCTATCTGTCGCTCCCAGGGCTGCAGTGCTAACCGTTTGGCACATGGGACACTTTTTCTCGGAGTTTATGTCTTTGGTTTTTAACTTCTGGCAGTGCCTGAATTGTTGCTGTTCTCCCTCTCCTTTTCTCCTCTCTGTAAAACCATGGCCCATCGGCTGCGGTTTCACTTTGGCTCTGGGAGAAGCAACACAGCCCCCGAGTCGGGGATCCTTTCCCAGGAGAGAGAAGATGACTTTTTCATGGCGTTCCACACGTTGCCAAGGAGAAGCAGCCCTCACGCGTTGTCGCGGCGCGGGGCGGATTGTGGCGCCGATGGAGACTTGCCCCAGGAGGGCTCCCTGAAGAGGAGCACATCCATGTTCATCCCGCAGCTGCTGAGCGGCCTCGCCCCGCGCCCCACCAGGAGCTCGTCCATGCAGATCTCGCTGCAGCGCAAAGCTGCCGACGGCTGCGCGGCCCTGGAGTGTCCGCAGGAGACACCCTCCTGTCAGCTCTCTGACTTCGGGGAGCCTTGTGCAGCCTCTGTTGAAAACCACTCTTCTCCACAGGTCACTCCTGAGCTCTCTTCGCCCCGGCTGACCGAAGAGTTAGGGCAGCAGGCGGATGGAACTGTTTGCTGTAACCATAGAGTATATTGTAGTGTTCCTACCAATAACCAGAGTGAGGAGGCTCTGCTGACTGCCCAGCGAGAAGAGGCGACCAAAGCTTCAGGTTTAAACATAAGTGGTGTGAGGATTCAGCATCGGGCCTCGAGTGCAGATGTGCCTCAAGTTACTCTACTTCCCTTTGGTCCTGAGGCTCCAGATAGTGCTCCCAGCCCTGAACCCCGGCGCTGGTCCTTGCAGCATGTGCCAGACCTGGCGGCAAACTCAGGGAAAAAGTTCTTTGTTCTCCAGTTACAGCAGCCACAGACGAGTGGTACAGGCGCAGGAGGTGGAGGTAACTTTGGCTTTACTGGAACCAAAGGGGACAGGTTGGTCAGGTACCCTCGGATACGGCTGGAAAGGAGTACTTCCTACCCTGTCCAGCCACCAGCAGAAGGAATTAGCCCCACAGGTGATGGGCTGAATTCGGAACTGCCTGGAAACAGCAGGAACAGGGCAGAAATACCTAGAAGCAATTCAGTAGAGCGGATGCCTCAAGGGCAAGGATGCTTGTTTAAGATCAGACCAGATCAAAACATGAGGCAGCAGCACTTCAGGATCCTTGTGACACGTGGGCCTGAAGAACAAAGTCAGGGTGTTGGTAAGGAGGGTCGTGGCAGCCCTGGCCCTACAGCAGCCGGCCCCGCAGTAAGTACGATGCTGAGTGTGCTGTGCTGGGAACGTGTGTGTGCTGGTAAAACACAGATTGCCTTACAAAGGCTGCCACCCTGGAGCCAACTGCAGCACGTCCATTGTCTGTGCTGGAATGTTCTGCATTGCTGTGGAGCAAGCCACGAATCATCATCTTTATTTCTAGTCTAATGTAACTTCTCTCTCAGTTATGATTACATCCAGTGTAATATTTTCAGATCTTACTGTCACATGTTTCTTAATTCGCTCTTACGTCAGCTGGAAAGATTTTTTAAAATCAGAGCATTCAAATAGCAAATTAAGCGTTCCTGTTAGTTTAGTTGGCTGAGACCTTGCTGCATGAAGAACTCTTCATGCACTCTGGTATTAAAAACAAATACTTTGGCACTTTCTAAGTGTAATGGACACGTGTACCTCTACACACTTTAAAAATGCGTATTGTAATGAAGTCATTGTTAAGACTGTGGGAATCAGGGTAGTTTCAATCAAAATACTGGCTTAGTTAAGGTACCAGGAAGTCTGGGGAAAAAATAATCTTCGTTATAGTAATTTTTCTTTCCTACTTCTGGAAGTGAAAAACATGTCATGCTTTTTGTATACCATAAGTCCTGTGCAAGTGCACAGCTCAGTTAACAGTCTCATTGTTTGGATTTGCCTTGATTTGGCTTTAGGATGGCAAAATCAATCTTTTGGGTTTGCTTGGTTACAGTGGGTGAGGATTGATGGTTGATGCTTTTCAGGCACTTTTTCAAAGCCCAAAGTAGGAAGGAAACCGAAGGGTTTAGATTAGTCATTTGCTTAAATTGCTTTGCTGTGCAATCCAACACGGCCCACTCGAGTTCCCAGCTCATGGATGCTGTATTTAGCATAGCGAGCTCTGCCTCCAGCTGTGGCATGGTGGCTGAGGAGATCTCAGGCTCCACAGCTCCTGGGCTCTCAGGCACTGAAATGCAGCACAGGGACAGCTGCTCCCTGCAGCAAGGCCAGGGGTTACTCTGCAGCTTTCCCCTGGAACAGCTTATAGGCTCTGTGTTTTCCAACCTTCTTTAGAGCTCTTCAAAGAGTAAAATAAAAAGAAATCCTTTTCTGGTACAGGTTTGGTTCCAGGACACGTAAGGGAGCAGAAAAAAGTATGTCTGATTTTTCCTTTCTTCTTTATTATCCGTTCCTCCTTTCCAAGATCAGCTGTTGATGGAGATCCACCACAGCCAGGTCCAAAAGTAGCTGTGGGATGTCAGACCTAGCACAGAGGCAGCAGAGGTTGGCAGAGATGTGCCCTGGGGTCTGTGCAGCAGTTCTGTTCTCGTTTTCCTAAAGGATCTCCCCCTGAAGTAACAATTCCCATCCCAAAGACGTGCTTCGGTGTTCCAGAGGGGAAGGAGGAAATCTGTTGCTCTGTGTTCTTGGTTTGAGTGACCATGAGGAATGGGCTGAGACAGCCATGCAGCGTTTCAGGCACAGAGGCTCTCAGCCCCCATGGCACTGCATCCTGCAGGGCAGAAACTCTCAAAGGAAAAGAACTCACTGAAACTTAAACCTTTTTTTGTGGTGTTTCTCGTCTTTGTAGTAAATCCAGGAATACTGTGGGTAGAGGTGATGGACTGGGCAGGATGCCATGCGAAGTGTGGAGAATGGAAGTGTTTTGGTGCAAGTATTTTGTTGCATTTTTTGACCACAGAACATTCTTTGTTAAGGTGCCATTTTAAATCTGTACCACAGAAATTTGTTTGAAAGATCTATGATGTGAGTGAGGGAGTGCCCGACATATCTGATCTCTTAAACTGAGGGGAGAGGTTGATAGTGTGAAAAAAAAATAATTGTGGTGTGTCCCAGTGCAAGAAGTTTGTGTGCATGTGATTGATATAGGGCCGGGGCTGGAGCAGCAGCTGCTGCAGCCTGATTTATCTCAGTGCAAACATCCGAGCGGGCGTCTGCAGTCCTGCTGCTCCGAGTGCTCGTGACCTTCCAAATATCTGCTCTTCTACACAAGTGCTTTGCGACAGGCAGGATGTCTTTCATTACCAGACACACTAAAATATTAAGTGAAGGCTGAGCTTATGTCAAACTGTGAAAAATTTTATTTGGAAGCCTTGTTGCAAATTCTTTTGCCTGCTCTGACACTTTATATGCCATGCAATAGAATGTCTGTGCACTGTGCATATCCCACATACTGCTGTTGTTTATCATTGGGGGTGTGAGTGCAGAGCTGGATTTGTGGGAAACACTTCAAAAATGTATTGGACAACTGTTGGAGAGAGCTGACAAAGGCATCTTTGTGAGCAAAATACAACGTGCCCTAACAAAGTGTTGCAGGAGTAGGACTGAATTATATTTAGTAAACAAACAGAAGCAGCACCTCTGGGTTCTGCAAGCCTGCATTTCTCACAGCTCAGCTCTTCCTCTCCTTTCTTAGAAATCATTTTAGAATAAATTTTGTTATGAAAGCACAGAGCTCCGTGGCCTCCTCTGGACCCACTCCAACAGGTGCACATCTCTCTTTCCCTAAGAGCCCTAACCTGGATGCAGTCCTCCATCTCTTCCTTCTGTCAATGTGTCCCTTCCAGGCCAGCTGGATTGGCACAGCTCACCCGCACTCTGGCGTTATGGGGAGGCAGGTGTGTGCCAGGTACTGGACACCTTCCAGGGGAGTTTCCTCCTCAGAGCTGCACAGGACTGATGCAGCTCAAGGCCTTTTCCTTCTGCACTGTACATCTGAGCTTACAGTCCTGCTTCAGGGGGTGCTGCCTGGACTCTAACGGCATTTCTAGAGAATAATTCATGTGGCCTTAGTTGGAGGTTTAAATGGCTCAAATGAATAGTGCTGTGAATTTCCTGGCTCTCCACTTGCTCTGCAAGGAGTGCCCATGGCCATCTGGGAAGCCTCTGCTCTTTGCAGATAAGGGCTTTGTTGACAGCTGCAGGTAGAGGACGATGAATTCCATTTCTTGGATCTCTTTAGCTTTTATGCTAAGGTCAAAATCAGTTCTCTCTTCAACAAGAAATCATCTGCCCCCCTTTTTAATTCTAGTGTCCATCAGCTTGCAGGTCTGTTCTGAAGCACTCTGGCTGTTGGGGAGGGGGCAGATGGGCACGCTCAAACCTGGGCAGAACAGGAGCTGGTTTTCAAGGCAGGAAGTACCCAGGACCTGAATAAATTTTTTTTCTTCCCCCCCCGTGGGTGGAGGACAAATGGCAAATGGTATAAATTAGCTTGCAGAATTAAGAAACTCATCTGTAATTTTTAGTCAAGGTTTCAGAGAGTCAAGAACTGGCAGTGCTGTCTTTTAACCTCATCCCTCCACATTCCCAGAGCTCCCTGGGATTCAGAATTTTGTGTCAGGGATTTTTCTTTTTCTCCCTGAAAACTGTATCTTATTGGTATTTCTCTGTGAAGAAATCAGAATAAAACTTCGAGCAGCAGAGATGGAAATAGTATCACTTTTTAAAATAGCAGTAATAAACTCTTTGCTCCTGCATGGAAAATGTGCATGTGAGTTTGGGTACACAGCAATCTCTAAAGTGGAGAATTTATAATGGAAATGCTGACACGGGTTGAATGCTGCAGGTGTCAGCCAGAGCTGCCTTGGTGCAGATCTAACCACAGAAAATTACAGATAAGAAGCCAGGGAGGGCTGATTGCTTTTTGTGCTGCTCAGCTGCTTTTCTGTTTGAGAAAAGCTGTCAAGTAATGATGAGTTTCAGAATGTGCATGTTTTGTACACATAAACAGAACAGAAGTTCTGCACGTAGACTGAAGTTTTTAGTTCAGCAGCTATTCCAAAATGAAATCTACCCTGTTTAGTTAGTTTCCGGATTAAATCTCATTGTAAAATATATTACTGCATCTCTTCATCTGAAGTCCCATGCTTTTATCCGTCTTTTCCTCTACCAGGATGGCACTGTGAGCTCCCAAAAGTCAGCAGTTATGTGCAGAAAAATAAATTAATTAAATCAGCATGTTTTTTTGTCTCAAAAAGGAATGAAAAAGTTAAAAGGGTGTGTAGGAGAAGCTTCCAGAGCTGAAGGCAAAGGAGTGAGATGTGTTGTTCAAATAAAATAAAAATTGCACTATGTGCTGTGGCGTGAGTCCAGAGCTGTCAGTGCTTTGGTGGAAAGCTGCAGCTTCCCTTTCAGCCTGGGTTGGAAATAAATTTCCAGGCTGTATTTTATGGATTGTAGAAAATAATTTTTACAACTTTGTTGTAAGTTGGGAGTTTATCTTCAGTGAGAGAGATTCAGCTCTGCATGTCCGTGGCCTGAGATGATTGTCAGCTTTGTCTCAAGTGCTGTCATTCATCCCTTGGAAAAAGGGGAAAGGAAGACCCAGACCCCTGTGAGCTGCAAGCTGAGCTTTGTGTGACCATGCTGTGTGGGAAGGGGTTGTGCAGGAGTGCTGCCAAAGGAAGGGGATGTGCTCAGGGTGCTTGTGCCTCTGGAAGGACAGTGTGTGCTTCCAAAGGCTTGTTTCTATTTGCATGGCAGCCACGGGGGAAGGAAAACCTGCAGATCCATCTGTGTTTTCCTGGTGTTCCTGGGGCTGGTACCCCTTTGCAAAGGCAGGCTTTATTGCTTCTGTACTGAGTGTCTGCTTGATCCTTTGAATTGCATTGGGAAGAGTGCTGAGGATTTTCTCCTGATTCCAGGATGAACAGTACTGTGAGATTATTGTTCAGCAAGCACCACCTCAAAGATCTTTTAAGACTAACCTTCTGATCATTAATTTTAGAAAACAAATCTGATGCTGACTCTTATTGCTTCTGTCTTTTACCATGTGTCCATCGAATAGTCAGTGTCTCCTCCTTTCTGTCCTTTTTGCTCACCAGTCAGTCGTGCAGTCACACCTACAGCATTAAAAAAGAACAGGTAAAGTGAGAAATATTAGGAATTACACTGCAAGTAGTTTAAAATGTAATTAATTATTAGCTTGGGTGTTATCCAGGGCCTAAATATACTTTTGTGAGTCAGCTCTGTGCATAAAAATTGCATAATGAAATAAATTATATTTCCATTTTCGAGCAGTTGCCTTGTCTCTGATGTGAGGCTGGGTACCAGCAATTTCTGAAAGGGTTTAGTAACGCATGAAGTATGAAAAACAGGTTTTCAGTCATCAGTTAATTTTTGGTGACGTTATTTGAGGTCTATTATATGTTTTTAATTTACTGTGTAAAAATACCTGATCTTAACTGAGCAAGTGAAATACAGGGAGGTTTTTTTTGTTGTTTGCAAATGTGGGGAATGGCATGCTGGCTGAGTAGGGAAAACCTTCCAGGAACCATTTCACTGTGGGAACTGGTCTTAATAGATTTGTTTTGGTCTGATGTCACCATTTTTAATATCTTTTTGGCCTTGCAGCAGCGCCTTAATGCACATGTCTTAAAGGAAAGCAAACCTTATCTGCTTTATATTTAGTGAGAGAATTGAAATCAGTCTACTCTTGCTCTTGCTGATCCTTGGGTTTTAGCTTTTTTCATTGCCATCCCCCCAGTAAGCCTCGAAGTGCTTTTTCCCTTCGGGAATTAGCATTGCATTTTGCTGGGGTTTGGGGTATTTTGTTGTCCCTTAACTAAAGTTCGGTTAAAAAGAGGAGGGAGAGAAGGGTTTCTGTAAGGGCTTGTCCCTGTCTAAGCTTCTAAATCCTGTGAACTCAGGCTAATTAACCAACTGCCCAACTTTCACCAGCCTGTATGTAAGAATGTGAAATACTTTGCTGTGCCATTGAATAGATGCATCTTTATCCCCCGTAGGACCCAGTCTGTCTGAAATGCCTGACCTGTTGCTTGGCACTGCTCTGCAGCAGCAATGGCTGGGACAGTCCCTCGTGGCCCCAGGTGCCAAGCTGGCTGTGCTGGGCACTGTTTGTGTCTCCAGTGAGCTCCAGAGGGCCTGGCTGGGCAGGTGACATCACTTGGGTTCCTTGTGCCAGGTGCAGCCAAAACAGATGCGGGAAGAGGAGGGAGGAAGGAATGCGGAGCTGCCGGTCGGCAGTGCCAGCTCCATTCTCCACGGGGCTTCTGTGGGACTTGGCACCGTGTGTTCCCCTCCCAGCACAGGCAGCCTCCTGCCCCGGCTTCCTGGCAGCTTGGAGCTGGCCACAGCTTTTCCTTGCCTTTTGTTCTGCTCCCACATTTAATGGGGATTGGCAGTTCTGACCAGACGTTTGCGGCCAATAGTGCTGGAGTTCTGGCCGTTCTGGTTTTTGCTCTAATCAAATCATTGTGCAGAATTCCTGAATACAAACAAAATTTAAAAAAAAAAAAAAAATGTGTGCAACAAACTTTCCAAGCTTTTTTCTGTGGTCTTGATTTTTCACCCAGAGAGTTCATATTACCAGTTACCCACTGGATTTTCAGCTGACTGCAATTTAAATTATGCACCATAAAAAATCTGGCACTAAATATTAGTGACTGATCCCCATGAACTAGTCAATATAATCTTGGCTCTCCTTTCTGTTACAAACAAATGTGTTTTTTCTATCCTTGAAAATTGAGCAAGTGTGAAGGTTCTTGGTCTCAGCAAGGAACAAGTGCTTGAAGATGTGTAGGTGTAAATGCTGATTAATTTACAGAAGTTAGGAGTAGTTATGTCCACTAATTAGCATGTTGGGAGCCTAAGCGTGAAGTACCTTAGTGTTCCCTCTGGTCAGTGCACAGCCATGTTTCCACCCAGGATTCTGATTATTACCCTGCAGAATGCAGTTTTGTGTCACAGAAAAGTGACCTTTAGAACTCTTACAGTGGATCTTGCTTTTTTCCATAACATTGGGAAAATCATTAAAGCAGAAATATGATGTTATGCATTTCCAGGCCTAATGCCTTCTTGAGTGTAAGTGCTGCTGGGATCAGGCAGTTGAAAGAACGCACTTAGTACCTTTGGAAGATTCAGGCTGAATAAATGTCAGCGTGCCTTCCCTGATTCCACTCCAGCAATCTCATTTCCCTGCCTGCAGAGCCTTTCACGACTTTGATTTCCCTGCCACCACTTCTCTGTTGTTTAACCTGATCCCACATAGCTAAAGCACTGCATCATGATCCAGAAAAACCTGGTGATGCTCCTGATGTAACAGAGCTGGACAAAGCTTGGCAAAGCTGCTGCCTGGGGCTGCAGCTCCCACTTATCCCTGGCAATTCATGGGGCACTCACTCACTGCTGGGGAGAGCAGAGCTTTCACAGTACTGCTGCACTCTTAGGATGGTATTTTTAAACATTATTACTGAGCAGAACTTAAAGTGCAGCATTCTGGACTGTTGCTAATAAAGATGGGCACCCTCAGCTTCCCCAGAGAGAGAAGTTCAGCTCAGCACAGTGGGAGCTGTGACTTGAGGAGCTGGACACAACCACCACGCTGGCACGGGAATCACAGCGTGCACAAATGTGAGTTGGTGTGCCCACAGGGTTTATCAGGGTTCATCAGGGGTCAGATAAACATTTGGTTCCAAACTGTCCCTGGTCCCCCGAGCTTGGGTTGTCATGCTCAGGTTACAGAGGGGATTATTGCAGGTTTGAAGCTGCTCTGGACTGTCGGGAGTGGCTGATGCCCCCGTGCATGGTGTGGGTAAGGGGAGGGTGGAATGGCAAAAATGAGTGTCTCTGCTGATTGGTAAACTGGGGACTTTTACTTGGCCATGAGTCATTTTATATTATTTTAGTGCTGCTTTGCAATGAGCAGTGTGCATATCAAGGAGGGCAAACTCGGGTATAGTGCTCAGTAATGAAGTATGTTTCGTCAATGTGATGGGAGTGACAGATGACTAAAATTTCATTGTTCTTCAAGAGCAGCTCTTTGCTTTGAGACGTGTGAGTTCCTGTATCTCTCTGGGAAGGCAGCGGTGTTTTCTCTTCCTGTATGTGTGCAGTTTTATTGTATTTGTGCTGGAAATGTGGTGCTGTCTGAGCCAGTCTGGACCACTCTAGAGCAGTTTTCCAGGACTTGACAGCCATGGCACGTCACATCTCAAGTGCAAGGTTAAAGTACTACATCAGGAAAATTGGTTTAATTCTTAACTTTTCACTTTTGTTCTACCAGGGTGGCTGCTGAGTGCTCAGTGGAGGTGAAAATGCCCTTTTGAGGGCCTGGGATTTGGCTTTGCCAGGCGGGTTTATCCCATCTTGCCCGGTGCCTTTGGCTGTCAGGATCAGCAGGTTAAAGGCAGCTGCCGTGTCCTCCACTGCTGGCACATGTGCCACATGGTGTTCCCATGAGCGTCCTTCACAGCCACTCTCATCACATTTGTGTTACCCACCAGGGCTGCAGTGACTTGAAAAGTTTGGAAATAACATGGCTGTAGTATATTTAGAAGAAATGTCAAGGGAAGATGGGCTCTGAACCTCAGCAGGCTGTTTCCACCTGGATCATAATTTAGGCACATAGCTGTGTGCTGAAGCATGGCACAGGGTGGTTGTGGTCTGAGAAAGGTGTGAACTCTGGTTTACTTTAAGGCATTTAAAAAAGAGTTAAATTTACTGTAGGGATCATGTCTGCCTGCTCTGAAATTAAGCAATATCTGGGTTGGAATGCAGCATCTCTTTAAATAGTGCCCAGAAATAGTACACAACAATTTTCAGGTCAGGAAGCTGGGAACATCCTGATCATCTCAAAATGCCAAGGGAGCTGTAGGTGGGTGGAGTGTCATTACCCAGCCTGGTGTGTGGCCAGGGAAGCACAGCACCTCTGAGAGCTCTGCACCCACAGAGCTCCAGACTCAGCTCCACATCCCTCTCTGGCAGCTGGCAGCAGCTCTGGGGGACCTTTTAGTTCTTCTTTTCACATCTTGTCCCTGTCTCTGTCCAGTGCTTCACTTTGGATGAGCCGTGGCTCTGTGGGTGTTACTGGTTGCCAGGCCAAGGTGATCACATTTTCACACAGGGGGGTTCCATGGGAGCCCCTTGGGATCGTTGCCAACCTTAGGAAATTCTCAGGCACTTTGAGGAGTTTGTTCTGCACTCTCAGTTGTAACAGCGTGGTGTATTGGTCCAGGTTAGGAATCGGGCAGGAAAAGTCCAGGACCAGGGCTGCTGGGAGAGCTGTCCTGCTGATGTTGGTGTTGGGAACCTGCAGATAAGCACAGGATTGATTGCAGCTTGGCCTGGTCCTGCATGGCTGCAGTGGAACCTTTCCCTGGGAGAGCTGCATGTGCTGGGGGTGTCAGCTTGTGTACACATTGCAGGGGTTGAACAGTATTTTGCACATAGCCGAGTGTCTTATTCCCTGTGAGACTGCAGATCCTTCACGTTGTTTGTGTGACCTTTTGGTCAAAGTCCTGACTAACCTGTTGTACCTCTGCTGTTTCTAACTTCTGATTTCTATTCAGGCTGGAATAAAGCTAAGTGGGGTTGAGTTGCCTGTTGTACTTGCTCGTGTGCTCAGCCATTACCCAGCTGTAATGTCTGGTTTACCTTCTGGTGAATAGTACATTTCAGCACTCTTAGAGGTCAGGGTAAAGAAAGGATGCACATCTGAGGCAATATTTCCCTTTTATTCCAGAGCTGAAATGAGCAAATGTCTAACTGCTGAGCTCTTAGCTACTGACACTTTGCCTTCTGGAAAACAACTTCAGTGTTTGAAATGAACATCAATACCACAGTTTATTCAGACTTTTGTGCAGTTCCAAGTAAAGCTGAGGTGTGTGTATGCAATCCTGAGGCTCAGCTAAACGTTCTGTTTTGTACTGAAGTGTCAAGGGATGCTTTTCCTTTCTCTGCTGTTTTGGAGACTAAGGGCATTTAGGGCTCTGCAACTTTAATCCCAGGCTTTTCCTCCTGGCTCGTAGCTTGGATAGGCACCAAATTGGAATTTTTACATGCATTTGGCTTGGCAGTGTCACCTTGGGTGGCTCTGTGGATTTTAGTGGCAGAGAGTTTCTCCAAACAGACATTGTTATTGTTGCCTTTTCCCCAACCTGGAAATGAAACTCGAGATCATTTTAGTAAGGAGGTAATGTAAAAGGGGGTCTTTATTTGAATTAGATGAGGAAGTAATTCTGCTTACAGAGCTGGCTGGGACTGAGAGATTTCCTGTTCCACTGTAAGATACAAACATATTTTGTTGGTTCAGCTTCTTTAAGGCTGTTCCTAACCTACCTGAACATTTTCTGTATTCATGAGTTGTGTTTTTCTTGAGCTGAAAGCTGCAGGAAGAGATGTAGCAATAGGTGTGTATTTTCTTCAGAGTAGTTGTTATTGGAGTGACTGTACTGAAAGCAGGAAGTGGCAAGTACTTGGGATTTGCCAGTATTAAGGGAAAAGTGTGTTAATTCCCTAAAAACAGGGCATGTTACCAGGTTTTTCTAGTATTTGGTAGGAAGAAGATTAATAGTCGAAATTCTGTAATGAAAAATCTACCCACTGTTTGTACTTAAAATTGGAAAAACCACAATCTCCTTTTGTGGTGTTCCATATCATCCAGCCCAGCAGGATGAGTCCATTCCGTGGGGATCACGAAACGTCATCCTATCTTTGTAGTAGAAACAGAACTCTTATGATGTTATCATATAAAATATGAATTTTAATATTAAACTTAATGCTCTGCTATGATAAGTATGTAAACTTGGCTGTGCAGCAGCAGCATGCACTTCCTGGAATTCCATGCATAGCGTGGTTATAAATAGGCAGCAGGTTATTTGGGAATCACTGGGGCTGAGATCTGGTGTCACAAACAGGATCTGGGAGAGGCTGTGTGCCCTGCTAGGTGCTTGGCTTTGGAAGAACACAACTGCTTGATGGTGAAAGTTCCTGTCTGAGTGAGTCCCAAGTGTCCCTGGAGCACAGGGCCCAGGTCTCAGCTGCTGCCAGGGTTTCCATGCCTTGCCTCTTGTGGGTAACACTGCCAGTCTAGACCCAAGTGCTGGAATCCACCCTGCTCCGTGAGCTGCTCCCACAGTGGGCAAATGAAGGACTGTCAGTCCATGAAGGAAGTCTTGCACCTGTCCCCCTTCAACAGGAAACTACCTGGGGCTTCTCAGTGCTTTGGGAGGGCGGGGTCTGGGTTGGTTTTAGTGCTTTCCCCACAGGCAGAATTGTGTCAGCACCACCACAAGTGTCATGGGCTACTATGCTGAGATAAATGAATTAGAACAACAAACAATGGGCAACAATAGGGGTAGACACCAGGGTTTCCTAAAATAATGGTACTCAACCATCGTTATTTTTGTCTCACTGCGACTAGGTTGATATTTCTTGTTTTTTGCTTTTCTGTGTGACAGACCAGAGACGACTTCCTGGGCCAGGTGGATGTGCCCCTCAGTCACCTCCCGGTAAGCAGCAGATCTCTGGGAGCCCTGGGGCTGGACTTCATTGCACACACCACTCCCATTCCCCTAAAGCAAGTGCTCCCAGCAGAGCTTCAAGGCAACTCGCGGACAACCGAGCCTCAGCTGCACAGGGACAGGAACATCATCAGCTGTGCATGGAAGGGATGCACTTGCTGTGCAAAAAAAGCTTCATGGTAGCAGATTTGCTTCAGCAAATGCATGAAGAACCAAAAGGCTGCCACAACTAGGTCATCTGTTCATTATTTTAGCTGAAATTGAATTCTTTGCCAGCAGTAAGAGTTCAATAGCAATCAATTGAAGTAATTGACACAGGGTTTGAATAATTTTATTGTCAACAGACATTTGAGGTGTTTGGTTTGAGGGTGGTAATGTTTGCTTCTGTTTCTTAATTAATGGAGGAATTCAGTGTAAAGCTGGTTCTGTAATTCTGTAAAGCTCCAGTTGTCTGGGTTCCCCCCAGCAGCCAGGATTCTGCATGGGCTGCAAAATTAGATGCTAAATTAAGTGCAATTTCTATTTGTAGATTTATAAATAGGAATAAATATAAATGTGTATGTATATACAGTGATTGCTTTAGCCTTGGTACAAACATTTCTGATCTTATATACTGTTTTGGGTGGCTAACATTGGCTGGATATAATTAATATTTTTTAAATGTTGTGCATGTTATTCTTAACGTCTATGACCTTGCAGGGCTTTTTATGTGTGAATGGGTGAAGTTATTGCAGTGTTTACATCAAAGTAAGGTGTCAGTTGAGCATAACTGGCTTTTTGTGTCTGATTGTGACTTCTTGCTGTTGATGGATGTTATTGTAGAAGAAATTCTCAGGAAGTAGAAAGTTTCCAAGATTCCAGGCTTTAGATAATTTAGGATTCAGTGGAAATCAGAGATGTAATCTGTCAGCCTGATGTGTGAATGTTCTTTATGTGGCTGGAAGCCCTTCAATTTGCCATTTTCTCCACTGCTTACAGACTGAAGACCCAACCATGGAGAGGCCGTACACATTTAAGGATTTCCTCCTCAGACCAAGAAGGTGAGAGCAAGGACCTTTAAAACATTTGAGGACTTCAAAACATTTCTTACTTCATGATTTTATTTGCAGTTATTTAAGAGTTATTAAATGCTGTATACCTCCTTGTCTCGTAGCCACAAATCTCGTGTGAAGGGTTTCTTGAGACTGAAGATGGCGTATATGCCCAAAAATGGTGGCCAAGAGGAAGACAACAGTGATCAGAGGGATGACTCTGAGGTAAGGCTGAATTCTCATGGAAGGATTCAAGAAAACTTGTAGAGTCAGCTTCACTTGAAGGATAAAGCCCTAGAAACAGAGTTGCCAGTTGGTTCTCTTTGGCACCACGCCATCAGGAGAGCACCCAGCCACCTTTGGAGATCCCTCTTTAATTAACCGATGGGGCCTGAGCTCTCTTGTCACTGCAGTGAGGTGCACGCTGTAACCAGAGTCTTTTTCCTTCATTCCTAAGCATGGCTGGGACGTGGTGGATTCCAGCGACGCCGCATCTCAACGTCAGGAGGAGCTGCCGCCCCCTCCGCTGCCCCCTGGCTGGGAAGAGAAGGTGGACAACCTGGGCCGCACCTACTACGTGAACCACAACAACAGGAGCACGCAGTGGCACCGGCCCAGCCTCGTGTGAGCAGCCTGGCCTGGGGGCTGGGTGCATTGGGGCAGCCTGGGGCTCCAGGCAGAAAGGAAACGTGCGTGCTTTGTGCCTGAAAGACACTTGCTCGCCCCCAGCAGATCACAGAGACACAGTTCTCTGTCTGGGAGTTCTGAGACACTCCAGGAAATCTGGGATGGCAGGGAAGGCAGTGCATTAACAATGCACCTTAGAGTATTAGGAGACAGAGAAGGAATTTTTCATTAAGTAATTTAACAGGAATAAATTACTTGGTTTATAGACACTGTTGAAGAGGTAAGGAGAAGAGTCAACTCTGTTAAATTTTAATGAAGTTGAACAGATCAGCTTTGAGGAGATCCTGGTTATTATTCTGTGAATAGGCTTCATTCCCTGGATGTGCTATCTGAGAGGTCTGCAAGCCACAGTGATATCTTCTCAAGATTAGATTCAGAAAGCTGTGGCAAGCTCACATTTTACAGAGTGTGAATAATTTACAGTTAAGAGCTATACTGAGATCATAACTTTAACCCAGCACTGCCAAGGCCACCATTAAACCATGTCCACAGAAGTGCTGGATCCCCCAGCACTGGACACGTTCAAGGCTGGGCTCCACAGAGTGCTGGGCCATCTTGTCTAGGCCAAAGAGAGGCTGAACCAGATGACCCCTGAGGTCTTTCCCAACCTGTTATTCTGTGATATTTGTGAAGCGCTTCCAGTTCTATTTTCTTTCAACTGAGGGATTAAACAGTCTCCTAATTATGAAGCTTGATTCATGCATGAATAACGATTTCTATAACTGAGGTTTTGAAGGCAATGGACAAAGTGGGGACTTAGTTTAACTTGGGTTATTTTCTTGTTCTTTTGTCCTTGCCATGCTGGGTTTCCCCCTGCAGTGATGTGGGATCTGAGTCAGATAACAATATCAGACAGATCAACCAGGAGGCAGCTCACAGGCGCTTCCGCTCGCGGCGCCACATCAGCGAGGATCTGGAGCCAGAGCCTATGGAGAGTGGAGACATTCCTGAGGTATGGCCAAGCCTGGGCTTAGGCAGCGTTTCTCACGTGTCAGCTCATGACCACACAACACAGGGAATCGTGGTTTACACGGTGTTTGTGGAAGCTGCCTTGGGACAATGCCAGCAGCACAATGACAGGGCAGCCAGAGCCACACTGCCAGGGTCCCCTGCAGCTGCCTGGTGGCCTAGGGACAGCACTGAGTCCTGTGTGAATGCTGGGGGAAACATTTATCATTCCAAATTGCTTATCTTGTATACAGTGATAGAGTGTGTATATATATACACATATATACTGTAGATAGTATTGATATGATACTTTCATATTCTTCTCTGAACAGCAGTGGAATAAATGATAAAAAGAAGGGAAGTGGACTGGCTGGAACTGCCCTATGCCTCAGTTTCCTGTCGTGCTTTGATTTAGGGTGCAGAGAAACTGTTTGTGTGTTGGGCACAGTGAGATGATCACACAGAGGGCAAAGGGAAAGAAGACTTGGTCTGTATAAAACCTGAACTTAGTTTCTTCTCTCTCATTAGCCTTGGGAAACCATTTCAGAGGAGGCAAGTGCCAGTGGGGATTCCTTAAGCTTGTCACTGCCACCTCCTCCTGCATCTCCAGTGTCCCGGACCAGTCCTCAGGAGCTGTCTGAGGAGCTGAGCAGAAGGCTCCAGGTCACTCCTGACTCCAATGGGGAACAGCTCGGCTCTTTGATCGTACGTAGTGTGTGATCTGTAAACCTCTCAGGCAGAAATGTGCTCTTCTTTGGCATTAGCTGAATCACTTCATGCATGGGGAGAGATTGCTGGGCTCAGGAAAACTGAGCATGCAGTGAAATTTCCCTTCCAAAAAATGCACCACAGCTTCACCATCAAGCAGACTGCCTCAGACAACAGAATTCCTCAGTTCAGATTTCAAGAGTTCTGTGTGAGTTTAACTTCACACTCTGCTACTCTTAGTGAGACAAAATATATGAGAGTAGAGGATGTCAAGCTAGGAATTTCCAAAGGAAAGGGAAAAACAGAAAAATGATCTCATTATTGGTGTTATCCATTAGTTAGATACTATAAAAAATCAGGATAATGCACATAAAAGTGGGGAAATGTTTTATGTCTCTTTGATTACAAAAATAATTGTAAATACTACACAGTCCTGTTTATTTTTTTTTTCTTAGTATGATGATGCTATCAAGGTACCTCTGCAGTTCAAGAGATAAGAAATGCTCTTGTTCTCATCAAACAGAATCTTGATTAGTGCGTTTTTCCCAAAGAGCCCATGCAGTTGGTCTCTGACTGATGGCAATGTCACCTGGAGCTTGGTCAGCAAGTGGCAGCTCTGATGCTCTGCTGGATCTGCATGCAGAGGCATTTGGGCTTGTGTTAGAACTGCAGTTTTAGTAACCCCCAGTGGTTTTACTGCAGCTGTTTCAGTGCTGTGTTTTCCTAAGCACTGCTCAGCCCTGGAGTGCCCAGCTGCACTGGTGGGGTGGAATCACATGGTAGAGTCCATCAGACATGATGTGTGTCTGCTTTTTTAGGGGGCTTTTGTTTCATGAAGGATGTGTCTTGGGAAAAGACACTACTAATTCAAAAGTTAACAGCAAAGAGGAAATTGGAAATGGTGTTTGGTCTTTTTTTTTAGGAAATACCATAAATTTTTAAGTAAATGAATTTTTAAGACTTTGAGCTCTCATCCATAGTATTTGATTTTGGATATATTTCTTAATGCCCTATTTTTTTCAATAATTCATGAGTTTGTTCATGTTGATACTTCTCCTTTAGGAAAATGGATGGGTCCTTTTTTTTTGTAGTATGTAGGGAGTAGAGAAATGGGATACACCACTCTGTGGTAAAACAGAAGTAGGTAATTGTTTACAGGAGATTTGCTACAAATAGGCTAGTACCTGTAATTACTGAACTTTCTGAATAAGCCTCATGTTTTAAGACACCCTAACTTGGAGACAACTTCCTTTTTGTCTTCCTTGCAGCAAAGAGAACCTTCCTCACGACTGAGGTCCTGCAGTGTGACAGACACAGTCGCTGAACAGTCCCAGTTATCCCTGGTAAGCCAGAGCTCCCTCCTACTCCTTCCTTTTCGAGTGGCCATTCTCTGATTCTGAGTAACACCTTGCCTTGGGCCAACTGTGGTCAGGCACAGATCAGTGACCGGGGTGGACATCTGATTGTCCCAAACAGTAATGGAGACCAAATTCACGTGAACTAAAAAAGGAGGACATTCCTGAGACAGGAAAATGTTTGGAGACTGAGCAAGCCACCCTCTCCTCAGTTGTTTACCACGGAAATTGCAGTGCTGTGGAGTGAGTGGAGAAACTCCTCCAAGGGGTGTTCCCAGCTGGGGAGGAGAGGGCAGGAGAAGCAGCCCTGCCTGGAGCTGGAGCAGCCACAGGACTCTTAGAGCTCATGTATTGCTGTGGCACATGAGGTAGTTTTACTTGCAATATATAAATCTGTCTAAAATCTCAAAGGATTGGTGTTTTGCCTGGTTGGAGTGAAAAGGAAGCAACTTCTGCAGGTTTATTTAAGGAGATTGTTCCCACAGATAAAGATACAAAGATGTTTTGTAAACAAAGCTTCTCTCTGCCATCAGAGCCATGCACACTGCTGCAGCTGACAGAAAGTGTGCCTCTCCTCCAGGACACGTGCAGGGCTTGCAGAGGTGGCAGCTGAGTTCTCTCTGCCACCTCCCAGCAGTGCTACAGAGAGACCATTTAAAATAGGAGTGTGCAAGGTGTCCTTTTGACTAAAACTGCTCAGATTGCAAAGAATATTTCAAAAGATTATGCTTTTCTTCAAGAGTTTTTTCTTTGTTTTTAGAAGTTACAAATGTGTCCTTTGTGAATCTGCAAATAGAACACCTGTGCATACCCATAGTTTGTTCCCAAAGCTGCTGTCTCTGCCTTGCTTGTTCTCTCTTGCTGCCCTTGGGCAAACATTTGCAGAAAGCACAGAGGTTTTCTCCTGGCTGGATTGTTCTGTGCTGTAGCAGTTATTTAGTGTAGCTGGAGCATGTCCCTGGCTCTGGGGGTGAGCAGGGGGTGGGTGCTGTGCAGTGGTGCCTCAGCTGGTGCTCTCTGTGCTGCTTTATTGCTGTGTTCAGCACTGCTGGAGCCAGGGGCTGTGTGGGGGCTGGCAGGGGGTGCTGGGGAGAGGCCTCTCTCCTGCTCCTTGAGGGACGCTCATTTCCTGAGCACATGTTCAAATGACAGCACTGAGAGCATTGCTCTAACACCTCATCTTACCTGATCTTAACCACCTTTCCTCCTTCCTGAGCTAATGATCATTTCCCTTCTGGCAAGTAAGTACATGTTCTTCCTAAATCCAGCACTCCTCTGGGATTCTGGCTTGGTTACCAGCAACTGCTGGCTTTTCAGATTTGCTGTTATCCATCTAACTGCTCTCTCTTGGTAAATATGCCTGATGCCTTGCTCCTAAAGATGTGCCAGTAACCTGTGACCTTCAGTAAATATGTGTAACATGAATTGTCATTTAACAGCAGAATGGTCCCTCTAGGAGAGCTCGTTCTTCAACTGTCACAGGGGGAGAGGAGCCAACGGTAATAAAACGCTTTCTTAAGCACTATCTCTGAATAAAGTGGGGGGACATTTAGGTCTTGTACAATGAGGAGCTTTTTTTTTTTAAAACAGCCATGCGTTGAATGAAATACAGCTATTGAATGAAAACCTGCATGTTTTTGTCTCAGTTTTCTCAAAATTTCTCAAAACACTGCAATTGCACTCAAATATTGGCATGGTTTAGGGATATGGATGTGACATTGAATTATGATGAAGCTGTGCACTAAGGAAATGCCATGGGCTCCTGAAAAATGAAAGCTACAACAGCTAATTCTTTAAAAAGGGATACTGGAAGCACCAGTGATTAGAGACATCAAATCATTGTACATGTAGCTATGTTTGCATCTTGTATCTGTCTTTCCTTACTCTCCATTAGACTAATTAATTTTAATTCTTAAAGTTGGTCTTAATTTGAGAGCCTTGGGGGTACAGTGATACAGCACAGAGTTCTTAATGGCCTTACTGAATGCCCGTTTCATTTTCCAGCAGTTCCTCAGCAGTCCAAGACTGTAGTTTGATCATCCCATAAAATTCTTGATGTGCTTTGCTGAAAATGTAATACAAGCAAAGTGGGTTTACTCTATATTGAATTTTATCTAAATTATATATATATTGAACCTTTAACCTAATTAACTGCCAGTCTGAAGCGAGTTATTTCATGGAAATCATTTACAGTAACTATCATAAATGGCTTTCATGAATTTATGCCCTCCTAGAGAATTTGTTTCAGAGAAAGAAATTAAATTTATACTTGGTATAAATTGCTATTTACATCTGGGAAATAGATAAATCTTGCTTTGGGTGTTAATACATCATTCTGTAATACTATCTATATTCACTGTTTTTTAATTTTAGAACCAGAGGAGCACACTTGCAAATAGCAAAGTCTAAATAAAATGCCTGACTCATTAGTAGTTAGTTGTGCTAGATGAACCTGCACTGCAGTGGTAGTCCTTAGCAGAGCATCTTGTCTTGGTTAGACTTTTTAGAGCAAAATATTAATATTTTCATGGAAATAACTGAGTTCAAACATCAGTGACTCCTCATTAGTGTAGCTGTACCAAGGTGTTTTACCTCACCATGCTGCAGTCACTAATCCCCCCAGCTTTGTTCAGCATTTACACCCAGAGTCCCAGATCTGAGGAGGAACTGGGACTTACACAGGATTCATGGTCTAAATCCTTTGTCTTCAAAGGCTGCATTCTCTTGGGTCTTTGGGCACCTGGGGCTTGCAGACAAACAACCTGTCAGCAGTAAAAGTCTCTGGTCACCTTGGTTTTGCCTTCAGAACCCCTCCAAACCCCCTCCTTGAGCACCCCAGGCTCAGGCCCAGTGTCCTCCTCCCCGTATGTGGGTTGTGAGTGAGACACTGGAGTGCTTGCAGCCCTCACTGTGCCCTTCCTGACCCCTGACTGTGGCATTGGCAGCCACTGGCACACTCCAAGGTGTTTTCCTCATAGGGAAAATAGCCCTTGGCTCTTCAGGAGAGGAAGAAATGACTCTGAACTTGGATTCTTCATCTGTTTGCCTCTGTTTTCTGTTCCCTATTGGAGTGTGTCAGCTTCCTGGCCCGTGCAGTATATTTTCTCCTTTCCTTTCTTGATTGTCCCTGCAGTCTTCCAGTTCCTTGTGGCAGCTGTGCTCTGCTCTTGAACAGCCTTTGGCATTGCTCTGGGAAAGGTCTGACAGACATGAACAAGAGCAAGTTCCTTGTCTTGCTGGAATAAGGAATATAGAGGGTAGGAAGAGAATGTGTCCTGGATTCCAGCAGGAGCCTTTACTGTTTCAGACCCCAGAGCTTGTAGTGCATCAGCCTCTGAATTGTGCAGGTCCTTCACTTGGTTCCAGTTCCTAGCTCAGGTGTAGGAGCTCGTGCTTGGGTATTTTGGGGACAGGAAGGACACAAGAGAACGTCGGCCACACACAGGACACAGCTCCTGTGGGCAGCAGGACACGACTCTTCCATTACCTGTGTGCTTCTCTTGAAAAGTGTCTGACTTGTGGAGCTTTTACTAAAAGTTTTTGTCATGCTGAAATTGAGGCTCCAATCTGGGGTTGTGTTGTCGGGACACTGAGCCCTGAGTGCAGCATTTGTGACAGAGCAAAATGGTTACAATTAGTTTTCTAAACCCACAGTAGTTTCTGGCAACTGATTCAAGACACCCTGGGATAAAGAAGAGAACAGGACTTGGGAGATCTTGACTGCATGGTTATTCAACTCTTACTTATCCATCCTGATAAAAGGAAGAAACTTCAGTCTTTTAAGGATAACTCATTAAAACACAGAGTTCCTTTTTGTCATTATGTGTAACAAAATAGAGTGTTTGAGGGCATATAAACTTGTCTGTTTGCTGAATCCGTGTCAAATTGACCCAAAAGATCTCTTGGGAGAAAAAACTTACAAAGGCACAAAGAGCTTGAATTAAGTTAAATTAGAAACTGGATTTTTCCATATGGTTGTTGTGATTTAAGAAGAGTGTAAGTTAACAAGTTGGTTTTCTTTTACGAACGACAGACTTTGAAATGGTTTTTAGCTATTATAAAATAAGAATTGAGTGATTTCTTGCCTGAGCAGCCTTCCGTGGCTTACGTGCACACCACGCCTGGCTTGCCTTCGGGCTGGGAGGAGCGCAAGGATGCCAAGGGCCGCACCTACTACGTGAACCACAACAACCGCACCACGACGTGGACACGGCCCATCATGCAGGTAACCCTGCTGCACCAGGGACAAAGCTCCTGGCTGGCCTGAGACTCAGTTCAATTGAAGCAGCTCCCACAAATCTGACATTTACAGGAAAAATCCTGAGCATTGTCATGACAATACAGATGAATCGTAAAAAAAAGCTGCAACAGTTTGGGATGGTTTTGGTTACTTCTTTTAATTATGTCAAGGCACAGGTTAAGGTGATTGCTGCTAGAGAAGGAATTTCCAGAGGTGCAGAAGAGCTCTTAAAAGGAGGCAGATGTGTTCTTTGGATTTGAACGTTGGCTGGAGCCATTAATAGAACCATATGTTCTTGGCCCTCCAGTGGAATTACATCAATTACCTGGCCTTTAAGGAAATAGGGTTAAGAAGAACAGTAGCGATGAGAACACTGACATTGGTTGTAACATGTCCTACGCATGGGCAGTGTCTGTGACATTTGTGACCTGGCTTTGTTCTGGCACAGCTCGCCGAGGACGGGATGGTGGGGCCGGGCACGAGCAGCAGCAACCACCTGAGTGAGCCCCAGATCCGGCGGCCCCGCAGCCTCAGCTCCCCCACGGTGACCCTGTCAGCACCGCTCGAGGTGAGCCACTCCCCACTGCTCCTGACTCCACTCCTCAGCCCCTGCCTTCAAACTGGGGCTGCATTTCCTTTAAGTGGCCTTCAGAGTACTTCCAGATGCTGTGGACTGGTGTTCACTGTGACGTGGCTAAAGAATAGCTGAAGTGGCTCCTTACACAATCAAAGCCTGTGTGTATTTGACTTCTGATAGTGTGGTTCAAACTCTTGCCTCAGCTACTCATGGCTGTGCTGAAGAGAGACAGTTCTTCAGACTTCCTCTTCACACTTAAATGTTTGAAGAGCTGTGGCTCACACAGCCTTGCACTTAAAGGCTGTTTTGTAAATTAGATACATTGTCCCTGAAGCACAAAGCACTGCTTTTGTCTTTTCCTTGGTAAAATGAAATATGGACGCATCCAGGGCAGCTGCAGGGGAAGGGACAATCAGGTGTAAATACTGCGTACATTGTCATTGCAGAGGAAGGCACAGAACACCATGTCCTTCACAGCAAAAGACTGGGCATGTGAGAAGGCACAGGTAGAGCTAATTAAGTTGTAGAAATCAGTCGCAGCATTTAATGGTGGTATTAATTACATCTGGAATGAGGAGCCGTTTGCTGTGGAGCCAAGCGGGATTGGTTTCACAGGTGCCGGGTGAGCAATGGTGCTGTTTGCTGCTCCGCAGGGCATGAAGGACTCTCCGGTGCGCAGGGCGGTGAAGGACACCCTGTCCAACCCTCAGTCCCCACAGCCGTCTCCCTACAACTCCCCCAAGCCCCAGCACAAGGGGGCCCAGAGCTTCCTGCCCCCGGGCTGGGAGATGCGCATCGCCCCGAACGGCCGCCCCTTCTTCATCGACCACAACACCAAGACCACCACGTGGGTAAGAGGCCATGGGCCATCTCTGTCTTCCTGCCTGCAGGCACCCCGTTGCAGCACGCCACTTGTCTTTGTGCTTTTGAGAGCCAAAAACGTGCATGTGGCTGTAAAAGCCTTTGTGGAGTTCAGGCAGCCTAAGAACAGGCCTGTGGTTTTTGAAGCATATTCCTGGACATAGCACACATTTCATGGAGTCAGGTCCTGCATCAACCTAACTCACTCAGCACGGGAAAACTCATTGCACTGTAGGAATCCTAATAAGCTTTTGTTTTATTATTCAAAAATAAAAGAATAATGAAGGAGGATTTCCAGATAAGTCTGTGCTTTACTTTGTAGATCTGCCTTGATCTGTTGGATTTACAGTTGCATGTCTGTGTTCCAGGAGGATCCCCGACTGAAGTTTCCAGTGCATTTGAGATCCAAAGCATCTCTGAACCCAAATGACTTGGGCCCTCTTCCTGTAAGTGGTGCTGTGCCTGTGTTCTGACCTACCCCTGCTGTCCCAGGGCTCTTCTCTGTTCTGGGCACAGGCTGCTGCAGTCCTTGGAAGCTCCGGAGCCCTGCTGTGTGCTGGGGCTTGCTCAGGCCCTCCAGAGCCAGCCCAGGATGCTCTAACTCATGGCCTCTCTCTGTGCTACTGAAGTGTTGAGCTTTGCACACACTTATCTGGGCTGTGTCTCTGACTGTGCTTTTAGGTAATCATTTACTGCTTAGGAAAACCAGAGCAGATTGTGCCAAGCAAACTCTATCAGTGCACCAGCATATTCTAGCATTTAGAAATATGAAAAAAAATTTACTTTTCAATGAAACCTCCATATTTTGCAGAGCAAATCATCAATTTCATGTCAGAAGTTTTGTCATACTTGTTATCAAAGTATAATGGGGATTTACAAACGTGTCAAGTGCAGAGCTTTGCTTTGTTTTTAAAGTACTCTCTCACTTTAAAGGCAGTGAGTAATATGTGAAAGCTGACACATTCCTGGTCACAGCAGCAGGAATGTTCTTTGGCTTTAGGAGACAGCTGTGCTTTTGCAGTTGTCCAGGTACGTGGGGGTGTTAACCTTGGAGGCACTGAAGGGCCAATTACAATTTGTTCTGTTAACTGCAAGGGCTGAAACATGCAGTGAAACCAGGGTAGCCTGACTTGTCACGAGCAGCAGATCGTTAGTAACAGATTTCACCTCAGTTCAGCCTCCTGCTTGGGATGACTACAGAATTTAACATGGGTTTCTCCGACAAGATTGAAATGAAATAATTTCTCTTCTGGCAGCCCAGGCTGGCCAACATTGCCTGTCCCTACAGCCTGCCTTCTGCTCTCCTTTCTGCACTACAGGCACTGGGACATGAGAAAAGGGAATGGATGAAAAGGGAAGCACTGACACTAGGTTAGGACATTCTTGTCCCACTGTACAGGGAGCCTGGGTTACACATTTACAGTACATAACCCACATGGCTTTCAGAAGTAGGAGCAGAAACTTTCAAAGTAAGCCACGAGGGACCATCTGTTCTCTGTGATTGTTTGCTCACAGCAGGAAATGGGTGGGAATCCTGAGGCAAGAGGTTTCTATGTCCAAGCTTTAAAAAATATTCCCTGCGTGGGATGCAGTCACCTATAGAAGATCTGTGTCTGAGTCTGCCTGGATTTGTGGCCTTGCCATTATGCATCTGGTCACTTGGGGTTTCCTTCCTCATCAGCACCTTTGAGACAAGTCCAGTAGGTGTGGGCAGTGCACTGCCTCAGGCTGTGTGAGACTGGTACTATTTCACTTACTCTCTCTTTTCTTTGTTTTTATTTCCCATTTCCAGCCTGGCTGGGAGGAAAGAATACACCTGGATGGAAGAACGTTTTATATAGACCATAGTAAGTAAGCACTCAGGTACTAGAGCAAATAGACAAAGGGAGGTACTAAGTATTGAAGTGAAAGCTTTGTGATTTTACTCTTCATTTAGGAAGCCAGGTGTTGATATGTGGAGACATTGATACCAGAGACTTAGTGCCCTCCTACGGTACTGTACATTCACTGGAAGCTTGCTTTAATTGGCTCATCAAGCTTTGTCCCTCTCTGACTTGTGAAGCATTAACATTTCCTCTCTGTGGTTTCTTTTGTTCTTGTTGATATTTTGGATTTGTTGTTGTTGTTGTTGATGATCCCATGGCTTATTTGCACTTAATAAATTAAAATATACACTAGGAATAGAAAATAAGATGAGAAAAGATCCTGTAGCCACAGCTCCACATATAGGCAGTGGAGCAATTAGCACTGAGAAGTACTTTCCTCTGCTTTCAGGTCTGTGGCAGTGCTGATTCTGATCTTATTTCCTATTTAGAGCATGTGAAACTGCACCAGCCCATTAATATTCTCCAGTTCTGTTAGTGGAGTTTTAGTGTAAGTGATGTTTCATTGTAGATTTGTCTTCCTAGAGCATCTCAGAACTGCTGTGTGAGTTTTGTTGGTGTTTGAAAACAAAGCAGCCCACAAAGGCTGGGCTGGGTCTTCTTATATTTTCTTTGGTTGTTCTTTTCAAGATTTTAAGACTTCTATTTAGGCATTTCTTCATATACTGTCATAACCATCAGAGGAGGGTGCACAGAGAGTTAAAACCTAAACTTAGCCATGTTTGACAGAATTAGGTTTGTCCCTCAGTATCACTGACACCCACACTCATCCACAGAAATGAGAGTATTAAGTCATTAAAAGACTACCTTTAAAGTAATACCAATTTTGAAATGGTATAAATACTTTTAACGAAACATTAGAAATAATACACTTGTCAAGCACCCGTTAAACCTCTTCTAAACTTCAGTACAGAGTTATTATCCTTTATCCCTTCTGTAATTGTTTTCCCCAACAGAGATCTGGAAATGTAACTATGGCAAATGATTCTAAACTGCTGCCACTAAGGAGTTACAGGATAAAACTGTCCCATTTAAAGCACCTGTGTAACTGCTGAGCCTCCCAATCTCTCTTAAAACTCTTTAATGTTTCAGTCTCCTAAAGCTATTTGAGCATCTGGTAGTTCCTAAAATGGAATGTTAAAGTCATACATTAATTAGAATTTCTGGAATAATTTGTAACTGTTAGGAAGCAAAATTTATGTGCATCTGAATTCTCTCTAGCTCTTTTGATCTGAGTGGATTTAGCTTCTTATATAGCATTTTTCACAAAAGTTTAAGGAAGATTTAGATAATGCTCCCTGTTTGTAGCAAATGTCCCTTTGGTCCCAGCCACGTGCCCGAGCACTGCCGTGGTGGCTGGGCTGGGGGGCCTGGAGGGCCAGGGGCTGTGCCACTGCCAGGACACAAAAGCAGCAGGACAAGTGTGGCAGAGTCAGCTGCTGGTCTTGTCCTGATTCCCTGCTGCATTTTGTAATTCTGCTGCATTTGTAACTCCAGTGCTGTTTGTCCTGTTCTTGAAATGTTTTTCTCATCCTTGGGGGAAACTGCACATGTCTCCTGCAGCCAGCACAGCCCCTGTGCTGTTACACAGGGACCAGAATCACTGAGTGCTGGTGCAGCACACACGTGATGTTGGTACCAGAGGCTGTGTGTGACAGTGACCCCTTCCCTGGCTCTCTGGGCCCTCAGCTGCCCCAGTCTCCTCACCTCCATGGACACACTGGTGTTCCCTGCAGCACACACACACTGCTGCCACTAGCTACGTGCTGGAAGGGATCAGAAGGGAAAACAACCATTCTGCAACCGTTTTCTGGGCAGGTACCAGTGATTCACAGACGAGGGGGATGGATACCTTGAATGGGTTCCCCTCAAAGTCTGTTCACATCCAGCAGCACATGGTGATGCTCACAATCTGCATCAGTGATACACACAAGGAATTAGGGAGAAGCACTCCTTAGTTCATCAGGAGAGGGCAGAGGGGCTCACTGGAATGGGATGGGAAGTCACAGTGAGTCTGGCAAATGGCCACTGCAGTGTGCAGGAAGAGGCTGTCTAAGGGGAATTGCAAAGTGTTACTCAGAATGGGAATAATTAGTAGAGTTTTGGTTGAAAAGGGGCATGAAAAATACCATCACCTGGTCCATGAGTTATTTCACCCTGTGATGTATTGACAGGAGTGCCTAAATCCAAGCTGGAGTTAACCCTTCTGATGCCATCAGCATTGGGAATGTCTGGCTATGAGAGTTCTGTATCTGGCAGGGGGTCCCAAACTTCAGGGAAATAGTGGGCCCCTTGGAATGGCAGGGAGAAGAGAGAATCCTCAAAGGCCTGAGAGCCTGGTTTATGACAGAGAATTGTGTTGGTGGGAAGACTCAAATTTCTGAAATCTTTGAAAATGTTGAGACTTTTGAAAATGTTCTTCAAAAAGAATGGGTTTGTTATCCGTGTCCACTTGGGATGAGACAGAGAATCCTGAGCTACAGTTCCAGGTGGAGTGGTTCATGCCACACCCTTGTAGCCCTGAAACAGCATTTTTAATATGAAGTCCCTGTAAGACTCTGCAAAGAAACTTACACTGAGATTCGTTGGTGTCATTGCACACTCTGAAGTACAGAGAGCAAAGAGTTGACACACTGTCAGTCATTTCCAGCTCTGTTACCTCTGATTTCACAGAAAGCTGGCACTGTGGTTTGTGGCTGCTGGTGTCAAGAAGGTGACCAGAGAACTTTGTAGAAGGTGATTCCAGTGTAGGGGTTGAAAATGGAAAGGGCTGGGCTGGGGGTCCTGCCTTGGCAGCAGCTCTGCTCCATGCATCTCTGGGGTCTCAGGCTGGCAGCCCTCCTCAGCATTTCCATAAGTGATCAATAACTTTAATGTTTGAAGGGAAATAAAGTAGTATTTTACTGTTAAATTAACTAATAGATCAAATGTCTTGAAATGTGCTTGCAATCCTTTAGAATTTTCTCCAGTTAACATTTGCTGAATGACACCTTTCAGATCCCAATCCCTCTTAAACCAGCTTGGGATGCTCAAAACTTAGAGGGCTTTTCCAGTTCTAGAAACATGGAAAATGCAATTTTGATTCCTGGTACCCAGTTCCTGACGCAGAGGAGTGTCTGGCCATGGGTGACCAGCACCTCACCATTGCAGGTGGCACCTGGCATGGGGTTTGGAGCCTTGTCTTATTGTTGCAACACCATTGTTTTGTTGTGATTCTGTCGTGTTCAGAATCTTGGGAGGAGCAGCTGTCTGGAGGCAGGGAAGGGGAGTCCCACCATGGTCCTGTAGAACCTTTCCTGTCATCCTGGTGCTCTTCAAAGCTATAAATGGAAAGAACTGGGCTGTGTTGTGCCACTGCCAGCATCTCCATTGCTCATAACTGGGTGATTCACACCAGAACAGGACAGTTCTGCCTCCTTTACCTTCTGACTAAATCAGAGCCTAGGAAAAATGTTATTCCCTCCAAATTTAGAAGTATGATAATTCAGCTGTCTATGCAAAATTTCCAAACAGTAACCTAGGGTGTCATTGCCAAAAAAGTTGGGTTCCTTTACCTGTCAGGCTGTGTATCTCCAATCCCAGCCCACGTTCAAATGAACATGTTCATTCACTCCTGCAGACGTTGCCATCAAAGCAGTGCAAATTCCCTGGGTTCTGGGGTAGTTCTGTGTTTTTGAGTGAATGTTTTCAACTAAACAGTGTGTTGGGGCTGGGGAGGGTGGGGAGACACAAGCCTTTGCTAACCCTGACAGAGCTGAGCAGTGCTAGGGAGAAAAAAACCAACGGAAATTTCAGTGTGGTACCAGAGAAGCCATGGGATCATTTCTTTTGTTATTTGCAGATAATAAAATTACCCAGTGGGAAGACCCCAGGCTGCAGAACCCAGCCATCACGGGCCCTGTAAGTACTGCTGTGGGATCCTCCATGAAATGCCCTGGCTTGGGCACAGCTGGAATAGCAGCAGGCCCTGCCTGCTCCCCAGATCAGGGATGGGCAGCCTGGGAAACAGGAGCTCTGCTGGCCCAGAAGAAGCTGGGAATGTCACAGCACCCTGGTTGGTCAGGGTTTGGGGATGCCTATGGAGAAGTGCTCCTGTTTACCGTAACGTGGGTCATTACTGACAGTAGATTTCACTGGGCTGACACATTGTTCTATTTATTTGGAAATCTCTGGACAATAAAAAGTTTGCACTTGGGAGGAGAGAGGTGGGCCTACGTGGATTCAAAGTGGGGAAAAAAAAGACAAAAAATGGGTCTGTCAGTTTAAGAGACATAAAACTTCCTGCAAGTAAACAGAAGTTTCAGAATATCAGCCTTAGAAAAAAATAAACACAGAATTTTACTTCAGTATCAGATTTTGAAAACATCAGAGAGTGATTCTTTGACTTTTGATGCTGAATTATGCCAGTTTATGCCATTGTATGATATTCTGAGTGATCAGACTTCCAATCTCAAGATGTTTCCTGGTTCCAAGAGTACCTTTTTATTCTGGATAAATCCTTGGGACCTTTAAGAGTTTCAGGACATGGCAGATGAGCCTGCTTCACGGTGTAATTCCAATTGCTTAGTAATAATATCAATAATAGTCACTTGTTTGACCATAGTTGCTTTTGGAGGGATTTACCCATTTATCAGGCATTTAAAACTGGAGATCCTCAAACACAGCACTGTGCAAATTCCTAATTGGCCTCTCTCCAGAAATGCTGAGCATAAATGAGACTATTGGAGAAAGTTTGTTTGAAGGAAATGAAATGATCGTGGTCCCTTGAGTGACTGACAGTGGTTTGTTTGTTGGTTTTTAAGGGAAAGCAGGAGCTAATCCATTTCACAGAAGCACTAAGGGATCATCTTAATCCTGAAATTCTGAAAGCATCTGAATGCTTTCAATACTAATATTTCTGGTGCCATGACAAACAGAATTACTTCAATTGCATTTCACATTGTGTTTTTAAATGAAGGAAACATGTAGAAAGATTACTTAATAGCTGTAGTAAAGTCATGTTATCATCAGAGTAAAATGATCTTTAAATCTCTCCTGGGTGGGTTGAGGGGGGCTGGTAGCACAATGTGTGTGGCTAGCAGGGCTGTCCAGTCCCTGTCAATGCTGTGGGGTATCCAGGTGCTGAGTGGCTGCAGTGACACATCCTCCCTGCTCCCCACAGGCCGTGCCCTACTCCAGGGAGTTCAAGCAGAAATACGATTACTTTCGCAAGAAGTTAAAGAAACCTGTGAGTACAACCAGCAGGGGACTGTGAGATCGCTGCACCTTCCTCCACGGTGCTGCTCCTCGGGGGCTCAGGGAGGAAGCAAAGTTTCGATTTGAGGGCTTTCTCAACAAAACACTTCTCTAAGTCTTTAAGACTCACGTTTTTTCTACATAAATGCAAATGCCCTTGAAAATAGAGCACAGTCCATCTTCCTCCTCTTTATTTTTTTGTTTTGTTTGATACTTTTCTTGTCGAATTCATCAGATATTTACCATAGAAGTCTGCATCACTGTTTTGGAACTGGCCCGGTTCCCCCCATGCTCTCAACAAGTGCACTGAGAGAGCACTGGGAAATAAAAACGTGAGGAACTGCAACACAAGGTGTCTGATCTGTCACTGAGCTGTTCCCAGTCAGTAATTTGCCCAAAGGCTTATTTCCTGAGACTAACAAGGATAATCTAATCTTCTTTGACACAGGCTGACATACCCAACAGATTTGAGATGAAATTACACAGAAATAATATTTTTGAGGAGTCCTACAGAAGAATCATGTCTGTGAAGAGACCTGATGTACTAAAAGCCAGGCTCTGGATTGAATTTGAGTCAGAAAAAGGACTTGACTATGGAGGTGTGGCCAGAGAATGGTTTTTTCTCTTGTCCAAGGAGATGTTTAACCCTTACTATGGTCTCTTTGAATACTCAGCAACGTAAGTGTCCATTAAATATTTCTATTCTCAAGGGATATACATTACATTTTGCATAAGAGGCAAAGTTGCTCTGGGCAGAAGTAGCTCCTTCCTTACCAGGCTGCCCTGGGGAGCCCCCCTGCCCTGTTCCTGCTGCCCTTCAGAGAGCCTCTGGAATTGTCCTTGAGAGCCCAGAAAACATTTCCATTGCTCAGACCATATCCAGGGCAGCGAACGTGCAGTTTTTGAGGACCAATGTCAGAGAAAAGCTGCTTTCCTCTGCTGCCCAGAGCTGCTGCGCTGCTGTAGAGCGAGCTCAGAACGCAGCTGCTCGTTCACGCTGCAGTGGCCTCCCAGAACTTTCAACTGGGAGCTGCCCAGCTTTAAAATCTTGGAGCAATCCATAAGTGCAAGGGAGAGAGGGCGTTCTTGCTCACACTGGGTTTTGGTTTGCTGCCGTGCCAGCCCCTCAGCGGCTCTGTGGTGGGACAGACTGGAAAGGACTTGGACACAGCCCCCTAGGCACAAGCTGTTTATTAACATATCTGAGTGTCTGCTTATTTCAAGACTTGGTTCTTCAGCTGTTTTTTTTCTTTCCCCAAAAAAGGGACAACTATACACTTCAGATTAATCCTAATTCAGGTCTCTGTAACGAAGACCATCTGTCGTACTTCACGTTCATTGGCCGGGTGGCCGGCCTGGCCGTGTACCACGGGAAGCTGCTGGACGGTGAGTGCTGCTCCTGCTCTGCTGCTGCCACTGGGCTTTGGGGAAGGAAATGCACCTGCCTGAGAGCCCCAGCTTCTGGGGACAGGCTGGGACTGGCACCGTTGAGATTTGAATGGTGATTCATTAAATTACAGTGTCTTATTCAACAAGTGAGTTTTAATACCAAGTTTTGCTCCTTTCTCTGCTCAAGTTAAAACTCCAGCATGAGCACTGTCCCTAGAGGAAAAGCATGGAATTTTTATCAGTCATTTCCATGCAAACCTGCAGCAAAACTAGGGGGGGGTCAACTGCAGCATATTTCCATATGTTAAATTATTGCTGAATTATTCAATTACAAATTCTGCTGCATTGTGAAATCTCACACCAGGCAGACATTACTGAGCAGATTTTCCTGAGCCTTGGTGCAGCAGAGGAAGCTCACCAGCCTGGTTTTCAGGCAGCTCCTTGGAGAGAGGAGTAGTGATTTTAAATGGGATAGAGTGCCCTGAGCTCAATTGCCCAGCTTTGGCACTCTCTGAAGTTAATGTTAGGGTGGTCAGTGGAGTGTGGTAGTTAGTGGATAACGGTTGAAACTGAAAAATTGGACTTTCTGTGCTTAAATAAACCTGAGCTGCTATGATGCTGTTGCAGTTGCAGGACTGTTACAGTCAGGAGGTAACAGTAAATGCCAGGGGTGTGCCCTCAAGCATTCCACCTGTATGGAATGTGCAGGTGCAGAGCAGGGCAGGTAACGCTGTCCTTCTCTCACAGGCTTCTTCATCAGACCTTTCTACAAGATGATGCTGGGGAAGCCCATAACTCTGAAGGACATGGAGTCAGTGGTAAGAGCCCATTTAACCAATTTCACACAATTTCTAATGACAATGTGAGCCCGTGCTCACAGGCCCCTGGGTTTCTACAGGTCTGCACTAATTTCCTATTTTCAAACTGTCTAATTGTGATCTGCCCTAGGATAGCGAATACTACAACTCTCTGAAGTGGATCCTGGAAAATGACCCTACAGAACTGGATCTCATGTTTTGCATAGACGAGGAAAACTTTGGACAGGTGTGTAAAGGGTATTTACATCTGATCCACTTTCCAGTGCATACTGCCTTTTTCCTGAAGCAACATAAGGTTATGGATTACATGGAGAACTAGGGAGGTTATTGAAGCCACAGAATAGAGAGGTTTTATAATACACCGGTTGGCTTTGAGCAGTTTCAATATGTGATTTAACTTCTTTTATTATAAATAATAACTATTAGAATTTTGTGTTTATAAAGTATGTATTTTGTGGTTATATTTTACATAAATATATCATTTTATTATTAGAAATAATAATGATAGTAAAATTATTAGTAAATAGGCAGCCTCTCTCCACCAGTTTTCTCTTCTGTCAGTGCAAGTTTGTTCAAAAGGGGTAAATCGATTTACTCATGATTTCCTGATACTGCCTGTAAAACGCTGCTCAGGGAGAGTGGGTTCTGGGAGAAAGATGTCCTCAAATAACAGGGTTTTGGTCTTTTGAAATACAGACATATCAAGTAGACCTGAAGCCCAATGGGTCTGAAATCATGGTAACAAATGAAAACAAGCGGGAATACATTGAGTAAGTACCATTAGGGAACATGCCTGGGGGGAAGAAAGAGCAGTTGTACTTAAGAATTGACTCTGCTGCCATTCCTGTCGTTTGTACTGCACAAGAGCATCAGGGGTCGTTGGGAAAAAAAAAAAAATCTTACTGTTAACATTGGTTATATCCAGTCAGATATAAGAACAAAGAGTAAATGAAATTATGTGTTTTGTTCTCCTGAAATTCCCCCCCCACCTATGGAAACATGCTTCTCCAGCATCTGGCTCAAGTTCAGAGGAGCCAGGTGGTGCTCTCTAGCCTGGCTCTCATGCCATTGTCCTCCTCTGCCAGTCACAGACCAGAGCCAGGATTCCAGTGCCAGTGTTCCTACCAAAACTGGCCAAATCTGAAATTAGGTTTCATTTTCAGATTTCTCAGTTCTTCTGCCTACCGGGACGTAAAATGCTAAATTCACTTAGACCTGCTGGCATTTTAAATCAGGGCCTTTTCCAAAGTGAAAGACATTATAATTGCTACATTCATGCAAATTGGGAATTCATTTCCAGTACCTGGACCAATTCCATGCCTGGAATTGATTTTTTATGCCTGCACCTGTGAGGTGTTTGTGCTGTGGGTGGCTGGTACTGAAAGCAAGGTGTCCCTTTGATGCTGCAGTTTATTTCTTTATTTATAGGCGAGGTGCTGTGTCCTGACAGCTCTCCTCAGAGCTTGCAGACTTTGCTGGGAATTTTTAATTACTCAGTGCTCTGGAAGAATAAAATGTCTGCTCACGTAGGTACCTACAGGAGTGAAAATATTCCCACTGTGATTTGGTCATAGTCACTGGGGTTTTTGGTTTGTTTCCTCAAAATTCCATCAGTCACCAGCCAATAAATTGGAACAACTGGTGAAAGCTGTTTAGCTACCTGAACTTGCTGAAGTTGTAAATGACAAACTGAAAGCATTTGGGGTTCCTGAAACCTCTGAACACTTGGCTGAGATCTGCTAATAAGTTTGTTTTTCTGATGGGGTTTTGTTTCTTTCTGCAGCCTGGTCATCCAGTGGCGGTTTGTCAACAGAGTGCAGAAACAAATGAATGCCTTTCTGGAGGTGAGGCTCTTTAGCTCCTTCCTTTCACAAAAATAGGGATTTTTTTTTTTTTTTAACACAGATTTCTTACCCACTGGTGTCTTTGTAAAGCTTGGCAGGGAATGCAAATAGAATACTTATGTTTTATGATTTTACAGTTCTGTCTTGTGTAAGAATATATCATTTTTCTCTTATGAGAACAAGGTCATTCTCTTTCAAGTTTAATTATTTGAGCTTGAAGTAATTTAGTCATTGATTTTTTAATTAGGATTTATGTGGGATGAGAGTTTTAACTTTGCTCTTCTTTTTAGGGATTCACAGAACTGCTTCCTATTGATCTGATCAAAATTTTTGATGAAAATGAACTGGAGGTGAGTCAGTTTGGTGCCCCAAGCTGACAGTTCTCTGACAGATGTGCCATGTTCTGGGCTCTTGAATCATCTGTCTCTCTCCCTAAGGGAATGTGCAGACACAGATGCCTTGCTCAGAGTCGGAAATTAGATGTTTCTTCCTAATTAATAAATCTATTCGTGACATGCACTTACTCGGGAAGGTGGCTGGGGGTGTGCCTCTGAAGCCTGGCAGTAGCTTAGTGGATCAGTGCCATCATGCCCGTGCCAGTCACATTTGAGGCAAACACGTGGAAGTTGCTGTCACACTGTGGCAGTGTGCAGCCATTCTCCAGTAACTGCAATACTCTGGGAATCCTCTGACTCTCCCCTGTGTGTGCATGAATGACTGAGGGGCAGTGCCACCTTGTTACCCTGTGAGTTCAGGGAAACATCCCACCCTTCTGCTTCCCTGCAGTTACTGATGTGTGGCCTTGGTGACGTCGATGTCAATGACTGGAGACAACACACCATCTACAAAAATGGTTACTGCCCAAATCATCCCGTTATCCAGTGGTTCTGGAAGGTAAGACTGGCCACCACCTCAAACTGGTCCTGAATGATTTTTTTGCAATCATTTTTCTTTATGAAAACTGCTATAAGAGTTGGGGGGGGGTGTTGTGCTGGGGGCAGGACCTGCTCCCACCTCACTCAGGTGAGGGCAAGTGTAGCTCCTGCCACAGCAGCCCAAAGATGGGACCTGGAGCAGAGACAATCCATTGTGTGCTGAGGGTTGGCTTCTCATGCTGGCTCTGGGCTGCTCTTAAGGCCTGCCTGCGCAGGCCAGGGCAGGAGGCTGAGGCTGATGGGGGCCGTTTGCCAACAGGCTGTTCTGCTGATGGATGCTGAGAAACGGATCCGGCTCCTGCAGTTTGTCACCGGGACGTCACGTGTGCCTATGAACGGATTTGCTGAACTTTATGGTGAGCTGCTCGTGGCACGATGGGAATCCAGCCAAGCTCTGACCTCCACGTAGCACTAAGTTTTAAATGCTGATGTCTGAGCTCACTTCCTTGGTATTACACAGGCTCTGAACCCAACTCACTGGGCTTGGAAAGAAAGAATCTCATTAGTGTTGCTTTAATGAAAAATCTGGCCCACAATTGATGCCAGCATTTCATGTTAAAAATAATGTTTAGGCAGTCTGTAGTATCCAGCAATTTCTGTTTCATATGGTTTTCATTTTCATCCAGGTTCAAATGGTCCTCAGCTGTTTACAATAGAGCAGTGGGGAAGTCCTGATAAGCTGCCCCGAGCTCACACCTGGTAAGTCACCAAAGCACAAATTCCAGAGCTGCTCCTGCCAGAAGGGCCACACTGCTGAGCATGCTCAGCTCTGCATCAAACAGCCTTTGATCCTGTGGGTCCCCAGTGCCTTCACAGACTGAGAAACTGAAGGATATTATTTTATTTCCCACGTCCTAGTAAGTGGATGTAATGAAGTAATGTAATGAAGTCAGACATCACCAAACAGCCATAGAAAGCACATGAACCATGGGAGAATTCAAAACAAATGTAAGGTTCTAAGATAATCTAACCCTGGTTCATGGATTTTGCAGATATTGAAAGCATTCAGTGCTAATTTGTCTTGCTCTGTTACATTTCAGGAATGTGGCTTTTTAAGGAAAGTTGTCCTGAATTGGAAAACTACTTTATAGATAATGAGTGCAGGCTGGGAATCTTTCCAGTGAAACGAATTCTATAGAATAGTGAACTTTAATAAAAAAAACAAACCTGAAAACAAAAGCACAAAACCCACCAAACACAAGCACAACAAAAACACACTCCAAAATCAACCCATCCTCTTTAGTTCCAATTCTCTGATAGCTTTTACCTTTGTAAGATTTTTCTCTTGGAAAATTTTGGTTTAATTTCCCCCCCCCCCTCCAGAGAGCAAAGGGTCTGTCCTCTTAATCTAGAATATCTTTGCTGAATCTCAAGAAATCTTTTTGTGTTTTGACAAAGATTGTTTTCCATCATCTAGGTACAGTGAGGGGCTTTCTGTTGGATTTTTTCCTCTTCTAAGCAATTCTTAGCAATTTCCTGCTCCCAGCTTTGCAAAGGAAGGCAGCACAGTTACTGGCGAGCTCACCTTGGGCAGGTGTGAGGTGTACAGGGAACAGTGTGGACCACAAGCTGCATTCTTAATCAAGACCCCAAATTATTTCATCTTTTCTAGTTCTTTAAAACTCTTTTTCCATGGATTATTCAGTGACTCTTTCCTTGTCCCTTCCAGCTTTAACCGCCTAGACTTACCTCTGTATGAATCTTTTGAGGACCTGCGGGAGAAGCTCCTCATGGCCGTGGAGAATGCCCAAGGGTTTGAAGGGGTGGATTAATTTTGCAGCACCCGTTCCCTCTCCAAGCACGTTCTGCTGGCTTTGGCACCTGCCCAAGGGACTCCAAGGGACTGTGGCATAGCAGTTGCCCAGCTCTGGGGGGCCAAGCCCCGAGGCTGGGACTGTCACCTGGGGTGGCCTTGCTGATGTTCCTGCAGCAGCTGCGAACTGATAACATTTCAGCAGGACTTACTCTATTTATGTTGTGCCTCTGTAGGCAAAGCCCTTAATAAATATTTTACACAATTTCTAATGACAATGAATGGAATTAATCATTTTACAGGTATAGTATTACAACTCATGTTTACTTCTTAATTGATTTAGACATTTTCAGATTTTATTTCATTACAATTAAATATCATATACTTGGAAAAATGAGCATTTTTCTTAATTTCATACCAGACTTTTTTTTTCAAAGCACGTTGAGCCTTGTGTTCCTAAACCATGAGGAGAATAGGAGAAAGCTCTGTCAGAAGCTTTCTCTCCACGAGCTGTCTATCAAAAGCAACTCTCTTCAGTAAGCACATCACTATTGTTGTGTATCCAGAAGTATGGGCTGGATGTTGCATTTTTGTGTAAGTACTAGAAGAGTGTCAAGGCACAGCAGAGCCCTGACACAGCATGTCCAGATCTCTGTTCTACCAAAACTGCCTCGTTACTGCCAAGCTGTACATGTGCTACAAAGCATCTGGGCTGGGGTTGGCATTAAGCCTTTGAGGAGAACGTGTTGAACCCTGTCATTCTCTCTGTACAGTGATTTGTTTTCCATCCTTTCCTCATTCCTGTTTGCAGTGGAGGCGTTCCAAATGAAATCTGGCACTCTGGAACACAGGTCTGTTCATGCTCCTGTTTGTGTGCACTTGCTAATGAACCTAATTAACACTGGGGTTGTTCATTTCTAACGGCACCGACTCTGAAGGCACTTTCTGTACCACTGGGAGGGCAGACGTGGTTTGAGCATAAACATTAATGGGATTATACTCCTTCCCACTGCACATGACCTTCTGGTGCAAGATCTGTCCATGGTGGATTTGGTTGCTATGTAAGAGAAAACCCATCCAGCTCTAGACTTGAGCCTGCAGACATGTTCCTCAGCAATTGTTTCTGTGATTTCTTTTTTACTTACAAAGACTTATTTAATATACACTGCTATCTAATCCATTTTGTTACCTATGACATGTTGCATGCCTAATCTATAATGTCTGAGTTGCATCTGTTTTGTGGCGGATTAAAGGTGACAGATTTGTGCTTGCACCAGTGCAGTGACATGGTGACAGCACTGCTGGAGCAGGGCTGGTTCTGCTGACCTGTGCCTCTGCCCCGGCCTGTTCTCCAGCATCCAAGCAAGGTGACACCACTTCCCAGAACAAACTTGTACCTCATTGCCAACAGATTTTGAGCCCTAGCCTTATCTGTGTGTTCAGCCACACTGCAGAGCCTGGGATACAGGATCACCCAACTGGGAAGAAGCCTTACTGCCAGTAACACTTAGCAGTTATGGTCCCAATCCTAAGGAAGATTAGGGTAGTACTTGAATGCAGTTCAAGATTCCTTCTCCATTAAATATGCTGATGCTGAATTCCTGACATTCCTGCCTGACCTTTTTCATCTGAGGAGCAAGCTGGAACACAAGACACTGGCTGGCATCAGAGTAGATAGGAATGTTAGACTGATGGCTCAGCTCTTGCGATAGAATAGATAAATCCAGGTATTCCCACTTACCTCAGCATTAAACACTTCTGATTCTAACACAGAATGCCTTTGAGAGAAGTGTCATACTCCAAAACTTATTTTCTCTGTCTTCTCATGGAGGATTTTTGAAGTCTGATGCATCCATTAGAACATAGCCGGGCCTGTTCTGGCTATGAAGCTGCAGTGCCATGTCAGGCACAGAGGAAGGCTGGCACCAGCTGAGGCACATTATGTTTAACAACCCACCGTTCCTCCTGGAGTGTCTGACCATCCCTCTCCTACTAATTGTCTGCCGACGCCAGACTAAAAATTCTCCGAGCTCTACTAAAACCGGTGGCGTGTGGGGGTCCGGGGCCGTGGCAGGGCAGCGCCCGGAGCCCCGGCGGAGTCGCAAGAGGGGCAGCGCCGGAATGAGCCGCTGCCAGTGCCGCTCCAGATCCCCCCTCGGTCCTGCAGCCGGGGGTCGGTGTGGGGCCGGGACTCTGGGGCGGGGGCCCGGCGGGTCCGGGGCAGTCCCAGAAGGCAGAGCCCGGGCGGAACCAGGGGCGGGGCCGGGGCCCGACTCAGGTGCGCGGTGCCCCAGGGCGGCTGCGCGGGGCGGGGCCGAGGTGATTTAAGCCCTAGAAATCACCTGGCTGCCATTTGTTCAGTCTGAGCACGCCGAGAGCAGGAGATCCTTGTCCGTGCTACCCCGGTGAGGCGTGGGGGCTTCGGCTTCCCTACGTCTCCCCCCGTTTACGCCTCCTTCGTTCTCCCCGCACTCCTCTTTTTTCTTCCCCTTCTGTCTCCCAAACCTGACCCGATACCACCCCCCCCACTCCGTCCTCTCCCGCTAGGCCCCTTCTATTCCTCTTCTCCCTACCCCTCCATCATCCCTGCTATCTCTCCCGTCTCCCGGTTCTCCTCTCTCCTTTCCCCCTCAGCCGCGGGGCTTGGGGCGCCGGAGAATAAAGTCCAGAGGGCCGGAGCCCGGCGCCCCTCGCCCCTCGCAGGGGCTGGGCCCGCTCGGCGGGTCTCCCCTGCTGTTCAAAACAGGGCCCGACACCGCTGGATCACAGGGAGCTCCATTCCAAGGATTGTATGTTTGGGATAAAAAATATAAAAATAATTGTATAAATATAAAACAAATATAAGAAATATACAGTATACAATAAAAATAATGCAACTATATGTATAAATATAAAAGATAAATATGAAAATAAAAATATAAAAATATTTGATATACTTTAAAATAAATGTTTTATGAGTTTTCATTTGGTTGGAGGCAGGGCTTTTTTAGTTTTGGTCGGGGTTGTTTTGGGGTATTCACTTGGGAGGATTTTGTGAAGGGTGGCGAGTCCCGGGCTGGGCTGTGCGGCAGGGCTGCCACCTTGTGGGGACAGAGCGGAACTGCAGCCGCCCCCCC